GAGTTGGAAAGTGCCCCCTTTTGCGGGTCTGTGGCTAGGACATGCCCCTTGCCGGTGGCAACCTGGTGACCTAGTCACTCTTTCCAGGTAGCTTTTAATTTGTAGCAATATCGTGATAAGGTTTCAGCCAGCTGATGATGATGATGACGGTGGTGATGATGATGATGACGATGATGATGATGATGATGGACAATTTGGTGAGGACAAGGATGCGGATGATGGTGGCAAGCATTGGGATGATTCAGTCTGTGTGCCGGTGGAGTCTAGCGTTTCGTGCTGTCTCTCTAGGTGGCCCGTAGCCTTTAAGGCCAAGTTCACTCTTTCTACGGGTATACTACCGTAAACTAAAATGATGTACGGTTAGAATCCATTGAGCCAGCGTAATACTAAAGCATCTACGCTGATCGCCGGGATGCCGGATTGCTGGGTTGCTTGTAGAGTAGCCTAGGCTCAATTTAGCTAGGGTGTGGAATCCATAGAGCTTCCGTAGTAGTGTAGAATCTACGCCTGATCGCCGGGACGCCGGGTCGCTGGGTTGCTGGTATAGTAGCGTAGACTCAATTTAGCTAGGGTGTGGAATCCATAGAGCCTCCGTAGTACTGTAGCATCTACGCTGATCGTTGCTGCTATAGTAGCGTAGACTCAATTTAGCTAGGGTGTGGAATCCATAGAGCCTCCGTAGTACTGTAGCATCTACGCTGATCGCCGGGACGCCGGGTCGCTGGGTTGCTGGTATAGAAGCGTAGATTCAATTTAGCTGGGGTGTGGAATCCATAGAGCCTCCGTAGTACTGTAGCATCTACGCTGATCGCCGGGACGCCGGGTCGCTTGGTTGCTGGTATAGTAGCGTAGGCTCAATTTAGCTAGGGTGTGGAATCCATAGAGCCTCCGTAGTACTGTAGCATCTACGCTGAATAAAGGTTGGATAAAGGGTGGATAAAGGTTAGGTAAAGGGTGGATAAAGCTTGGATAAAGGGTGGATAAAGTTTGGACAAAGGGTTGTTGATAGTGTGTTTTAAATTGTTTTAGAGAAAGATGTTTGCACACGGGACTTGAAAAAATGTAGAACTTCCAATACAAGACAGGTGCATACTTATTGCATATGGGGCGGGGACGGTCACACTAAGATGGCACAAGCACACACACACACACCCACCCCTCTCTCTCAAGACCAACTAATCGGGGAAGACTATGCGAAAATGAAGGCAATACCTGCAAAAGCGTAGAAAACACACTGGAGGACCCAATGAAAACCATGGAAAATGAAGCAGCACAAGCCAAAAGTGATGGTCAAAACATGGAGCTTTCCAATACAAAACAGGGTCACAACACTAAGATGGCACACCCTCATTTCAAAAGATCCGGGGGATAGCGGCACTAGTGTGGGATAGTTTTGAATAGTTTTGGTGCACTAGGATGGCACACAGACATGTGAATTGCCTTCCAGAGTGCCATCACAGCCCTCCTCAATATGGTGAAGGCTTTGAGCCCTCTAGTATGGCACAAATGCCCATGTTTGTGTTTGACATCTTTTTGTATTTTGCTAGAAATGTGGAATCCATAGAGCCCCCGTAATACTGTAGAATCTATGCTGATCGCCGGGACGCCGGGTCGCTTGGTTGCTGGTATAGTAGCGTAGACTCAATTTAGCTAGGGCGTGGAATCCATAGAGCCCCCGTAGTACTGCAGCATCTACGCTGAATAAAGGTTGGATAAAGGGTGGATAAAGGTTAGGTAAAGGGTGGATAAAGCTTGGATAAAGGGTGGATAAAGTTTGGACAAAGGGTTGTTGATAATGTGCTTTAAATTGTTTTAGAGAAAGATGTTTGCACGAGGGACTTGAAAAAATGTAGAACTTCCAATACAAGACAGGTGCATACTTATTGCATATGGGGCGGGGACGGTCACACTAAGATGGCACAAGCACACAAACACACACACACCCACCCCTCTCTCTCAAAACCAACTAATCGGGGAAGACTATGCGAAAATGAAGGCAATACCTGCAAAAGCGTAGAAAACACACTGGAGGACCCAATGAAAACCATGGAAAATGAAGCAGCACAAGCCAAAAGTGATGGTCAAAACATGGAGCTTTCCAATACAAAACAGGGTCACAACACTAAGATGGCACACCCTCATTTCAAAAGATGCGGGGGATAGCGGCACTAGTGTGGGATAGTTTTGAATAGTTTTGGTGCACTAGGATGGCACACAGACATGTAAATTGCCTTCCAGAGTGCCATCACAGCCCTCCTCAATATGGTGAGGGCTTTGAGCCCTCTAGTATGGCACAAATGCCCATGTTTGCGTATGCCATCCTTTTGTATTTTGCTAGAAATGTGGAATCCATAGAGCCCCCGTAATACTGTAGAATCTATGCTGATCGCCGGGACGCCGGGTCGCTTGGTTGCTGGTATAGTAGCGTAGACTCAATTTAGCTAGGGTGTGGAATCCATAGAGCCTCCGTAGTACTGTAGCATCTACGCTGATCGCCGGGACGCCGGGTCGCTATGTTGCTGGTATAGTAGCATGGACTCAATTGAGCTAAGGTGTGGAATCTATAGAGCCCCCGTAGTACTGCAGCATCTACGCTAAATGCCGGGTCGCAGGGTCACCGGGTGCGCCGGGCAAAGACATTCATGCTTGAAGCATTTTGTTTCGTTTTGGCCATTTCCTTGTATTTTTACTGTTGGTGCAATGTTCGCACTGGGCAAACTTTCATGGAGATCTAAATTCTAAGCTGTTTAGTTTTGGGACCCCATTCTCGACTTTTACCAAACTGCAGGACCTGCTAGCCTCGCTTCACCATCAATGAGGTGACCGGGCATGGTGGAAGTGAAAGCAAGAATGAGCACATTTGGCATGCAGGGGGTTGTGGATTCAAGTTCATGGCATGTGCCATCTTGCACTGTGTGCTCAAAAGCTCGGAGCCCGGGGTAAGGGCTTCACTTGGTTGGTCTTGCAAATCGAAAAAAAAAACTTACGGCAAACTGCAGGGCAAAGCAGAAAAACTGTCATAACCATCGGAAAGAAAGGGAAACAGAGAAAGGGATATTGACTATACAACCCACCATCAAAGAAGTAACTGACAGACAGGAGACAGCCAGCAAGGTTGCAAACACATGCGCAATTTCAGTGTGAGTTTGTTTTTGAGCATCACGCCTGTGGGGGCAAAATGGTGCGAAGAAAATACCTCGACATAGAGGTGCCACCAACTGGGGATGAGCGCAGGCGAGCTTTGCAACGGCTCTATGAAAAGCACGCTGACAGATTCTTGGTAAAGAGTTGAAAATTCCTAAGTTCTTGCTGGGTTTCGGTGGTGTGTTTGATTTTTGTTTGTTGGCCAGCCACGACTGTCTTACTTTTTACTTGGCATTGGCAAATTGGCTTAGCTGTTTGCTCAGGAAAAAAGATAAGACCAACCAAAACGAGCGAGAGCAAGCGGGATGTGGGGGTGCAAACATTTGCTGCTCCAAGCGCTGTGGATGTGGGCGTGCAAACATTTGCTGCTCCAAGCGCTGTGGCGAGTCCGATGCTGTGCGACCGCTGTGAGCGGACCCAGTCTCAGAACCAATTTCTGTGCCCCTTGGCTCTTGATTCAACATTGTGTTCAAAGTTCCAATGGGTTTGCCATGATTTGCTTGATTGTCGCTGTTCGATCGCATTGCTCGTCTCATTCATTCGCCAGATCTTGTTGTTGCTATTTATTGAAACTCGTTGTCGCAACAGCTGTAAGGCAAAGAATTTCGGAAGTTCGAAGACGAGGTGGATTACAGGAAAAAGCACTTGGTCATCGCTTGCAAAGAAATCCGCGAGCTCAAAGCACAGCTGGCCGCAGCAAGACAGAGCCAGTGAAGGAAAAAATGAGCACTGGTGCTACTGCAAGGGTGTGGTGATTATGTTATTTTTTTGATCACCGCTTGCACTGAAATGATTGCCATGTTGATCTTTGACTGGCTTGACAATGTGGTTCATGCCCTTGTGCCAGGTGATTTAAATGAGTGAGAGTTCCTGGGAACTTCTTGGGGCGATGAGGAAAAATGCGTGCTACAGCTGGCAGACTGAAACCGTAACACCTGAAACCAAAGAACTAACACCTAAATGCAAGCAAAATTCCTTATATAATATATATATCATTATAATGTAATAATAATGTAATATACTTTCGGTAATAATAATCATATACACCATAATATAATGTTAGTAGTACTTCTTGGAATGTGCACAGGCTATCCCATGTACGCATTGCAATTACTATAGTCCGCATCTGAGCACCAGGACATTTTGAATTGTCACAGGAAGGGAGCCGCCACATCATTGTGCAATTTTGGCAGACTTGAGGTCTGGCCTTTCATGCCCCTGATTTAGAGATGTAGTTTCTCCTGTTGATATAGCCCCCTTCCTCTCAGCAGGATTATATATAATATATCATAATATATAAATCATATGATCTATGAGTTTCTTAGGCGTACATTTGCACAATAATTGTGCCATTCATGCTACTTGCTACAGATAGTAATTGACATGATTCTTGGATGCTGGGAGGGGTGTCTGCCCGTGGTGGCTGTGTAGCGCTCTGTCTGGGCTGTTCAAAATCAATGCGTGGCCAATCGCAATCCATAATCCGTTCAATCCTAGGTTTGCCCACTAATCTTATGAGTCCGTTATTGATTAGTGATTGGTGATTAGTAACTGCGTGCAATCCGGAAATCTTCCAATACCTTAGGGCCTTAGGGACAATTTCATCTCTCGATGTCTCCTGATATCCCCTGTTTCAACCCAGAATGCCATGCTATAATCTTGACGCGGCCGTACTGAGCCAGCTCAAAAGGAGACGAGCCAAGTACAGTAATTCAGAAGTGATAAAACCCAATGAACCATCCCAAGTATGGTTTACCATTGGGTTTGCCACATTAGCACTTTCCATCACCTGCACCAGTCATTGTAAGTTTAGGATAGTTTAATAAGTTTAGGGACATCCTGCTGGTCTGGGCCTTTTCAAAACTTCACCTCAAAGCTGCCGTGACTTTGCACGGCCATTGGCCATCCACCGTCAGCACGACTCCGCACCTACCAGTTGACACTCGAGTCTCAAGCACCGATGGTCAAATCACCACCATTCACCAAACACCAACTGGCTAAACTGGCCTACAATATGCTGCATGGATCTGTATCTGCATGGGCTGTTTGGAAACAGCATTTGTGTACATGAGTGTGCTTGCATGGTGTGTGTGTGTATGGCATGGATGTGGCTTCAACACAAACCCATGGGTCCCTTGCTGCGTTGCTTGGGAATGCGCTTTACTTTGAGACCTTTCCCCGAGCTGGTGGCCACCTGAGTCCTCCGTAGACGTTTCTGTGATGAACTCTTGAGTTAGCTTTTTCTGAAGTCCTGGGTTTGCGTCGCAGGCCATCAGGCAGGGATGGACACAAATCCAAAGAGCCTTCTCATGGCAGTGAGATTCAATTTGCATTTAAGACGATTTAAGGGTATTTAAGGAAAATCAAGGAAAGTATGATTCTGCTGCAGCACCCCTTCAATCTATGGTGCCTCAAAACAAAATATGGCCACCAAAATCCTTCAAAATCGCCCTCTGACCATCTAAGTCACCCATGAGCTCTGCGGGCTGCACACCATTCAAGTGCATGGCCAAGCGCTTTGTGAACGTGGAGGCAAGCAAGTACTGCTCAGCCTCATTGGGCATCTGGGACATGGGGCCCTCGGTGACAGGCTCACACATTTACACTGTTCATTTACAGCAGATCTAGAAATGCTCTGGGGTGCCAAATTGACGAGTTTTCTATAGTTTTATGCCATCCAAATCTGTATCATTCCGTATCTGCAAGTCTTGCTCTGAAGTGAGCGAAAATGAAGAAATGCCTTGCCCTCAAGGTATCCAGTGGGGTCCAGGATAGAGATTCGAGATGTCACAGCTCACATCTGAGACAACTAACTAGCCTGACACTTGTCTTGGTTTATCATCGTTTATCATCGTTTATCATCGTTTATCATCGTTTATCATCTTGGAGTCATGTCGTGTAGCCCTCTGATCCCTCTGCACGTCATGGACTAAGTTCATCTAAGTTCCAATGAAGCCAGGCACGGGGCCCCTCAGGTCCTGGCACTATGCGATGACACCTCCTCTGCAACATCAAAGGCCGCCGTGCTGCCCGTGCTGCCTTCCGGGCCCACCAGCCCTAAGGCATCAGAGGTGAAACTCAACGAATGGATGCCTTCTCCCAGCTTGAAATAGTTCGAAAGGATGGAGTCCTTGCAAATGGATCGAAAATGGATCAAAAATGAATCAACAAATCAAAGTGGCCTGGAAAAATCCCTGCAATAAACCAAATGAAAAGAAGCCAGGAATGGAGGGGATGTTTTGCAACAACCGAAGCGGGATACACTTTTTTAATACAGCATTATATAACTATATACATTTAAAACCTATGCCAATGTATGCCATTATGATGCCATTATGATGCACCTCAAAAACGTTGCGTTTGACGGTGACCTTGACTGTGAGCTCGACGGATCCATGTCTCATAACAATGAGTTTGACGGCGAACCAAACGGTGAGGTTGACGGTCGGTCAAAGTGTCTTTCAAGGTGTTAGTCATGCCAAAAATTAGGCGTTTGTTGTTGAAATCAGGCTTGTTCGTCCTAAATATGGCTAATTTTGTAAGAATAAGGAGCCCAAAAAGCTCATAATTGGCCGTCCTAAATTTAATAAGCCTTATTGAGGCTTAGCGGACACCTCGTCGGATACCTTAACGGACCACCAACCTCACCGTCGACCTCTCCATCAACCGTCAAGCATCCGCATGCACCACTAGAACCTCAAATTCATACGTTTTAAGATGTTTTCAGTTTAATTCTAGTTCAGTTACGTAATGTTATGCAGCATATATCTCACACATCCTATTGAAAAGCATCCAATGCTATGCGGGTCTGCTTTTACAGTTCTTCAATGTATTTCACACTTCAATCATGTTGGGCTTGGTTGTGTTGGCATCCATTCTCAGGTCCTTGTGAGTATAGAAAATGTCAACGTTCCTGGCCAACAGCCTGCAATCAGATCATACTGCAAACACTTGAACAATCTTGAAACAATTTGAAACATATATGAACATACTTTTTTAACGTACTTGAACGCAAGTTCAACTTTCTCCGTCTATCACTGAGTATATCTCTCCGTCGCCATCTTTGACTAGCAAATTGGCACCTCTCTCCCTAGCATCCTAAGATGCCAAAATCAGGTGCAAAGGCTCTTAAGTCCAAGGCCACACACATACAGAACCAAAAACATTTCCACGATTCTGATAATGAAAACCAACATTTCGAAGTTGCACAGGACCACGCGAATTAATTATTCCAGTTGGCATATCCTCCTGCCACTAGCAATTCCATGCAATTCCACAAGGTCCGGCCCTGCCTGTCCCTGGGAAACTCGCCCCGAGGCTCCAGCGCATCTCTTGGAACAGCCGCGCCCAACAAGGCCAAGTATCTGGGCGACTGGATGCGACTGGTGCATCCGCGTGCCACGTCGTGCCACGTCGTGCCACGTCGTGCCACGTCGTGCACAATCTGCTGACATCGACTGTCTTGCTAGATTCTGCTAGATGCTTTAAGTTGACGAAATAAAAGATGATGAGTCGTCAACCGGGTCAACTTGGTGAGACTGAGACAGGCAGATCCCAGTTTAAGGGGACTCCGGCAGCTGACGGCAGCTGTGTATCAGGAATGGGTCCAATCTTGAGTCTTAACATGTCTGAACAAAACAATCCAACGCTGTCACGGGCAGAGATCAATTACCCGTTTTTCTTTACACCAAGTTGCTGGACCTGGACATGTTCCAGCTGCGGCACGTCTGTTCCAGCTCCAGATGCTCCAGATGCTCCAGGTTTCAATGCAGTGAGCGCAGTGAGGGCCGTGAGCGCCACGCGACAGCCCAAGCTGTGCGCCACCACGCTGACCGTGCAGCGGAGCTTCCCGAGGAGCAGCAGCAAAGTGGCAAAGTACTCTGCTGCTTCAGTGGCATCAGTCCCTGTCAACCGTCAGCAACGGGGAAAGCCCCCTGTCGATGGGAAAAAGCTCGGAAACCGACCTGTTATGGATGGTGGATTTGACATGGTTTGACAATCCACGACTTTGCAACGGTATTGAATCAACAAATAAAGGCCGGGTCATTCATATCCAATTGATTCAAAACGTAGTGGGAAACGAATCAAAGAGGAATGGCTGCGATATCAAGTCTTCCATCAAGGCACACGGATGAAACTGGCTTTGGGGATCACACAATCATTGAACATGGCGACCAAAAGCTTGCGATTGTGAACTCTCACGATTCTGATTTAGCTACAAATCCCCAAAAAAAATAGCATACAATATTAAATATCATACAATATCTACATAATATAGCTACATAGTCTACGTGGCCGCACACTAGTTCCCATGCCACCCCACCAATCTCAGCAGCGGGCTTGCTTTGGCATATGACTTGTGATGCCGATGTGACGGCCACAGAAAGGCCAACACGACAATGCGTTGTGGAAGACTTCTGGTCAATTGCCGCAGGACCCAGGAGGTTCTCAACAGCCGCAGGCTGTTGACCCGGAAGCCATGCCTTGGGGCCCAGGTCAATAAAATCCCTAAAGAGATGATAGATGATGATAGGGATTCTGAAGAATTGATGCAAGGCCCTACCAAATGTCTCCTCTGGCAGTTGAGTTGCGCAAGTACCACCACTTGAGCACCTTTCAAGGCATCTGGGAAGCTGGACAAATCGGTGGCAAACAAGTCATGCAACTCCTTAGCGTAATTTGGAATCCTCAGCTGGGCAAAAAGATTCCTGCAACCTGGAAGAAGGCAAACAGCGCCACGCCAACAACTATGGACGCCACGCGGATGTACACTCTTCATCACTCTTGATCTTCCAAAACCACAAGTTGACAAGGCCATATTAAGCCGAAGGTCACCCAACACTTGGAAACATAAGGCAGGAGGACCCGAGGGTGATGCCTCAAGTTTGGGAGGTTGACGACCTCCGTGCCTCTGGCATTCATGTCAGCGGCTGCAGCTGCACACAGCACATCATGCGCCACATGGCAGAAGGTATCCAGATGCACCTTGATGGCTATGGGCTGCTACATGCTGCTAGGTTGGGAACGAAAAAGGAATGCGAGAATGCGTTGTATTCAAATACTTTCAAGGGTGCGAGGACAAGAATGGAAAAGGGTCCAGAATTGTTTTGGGAATTAGTTTTTTTCCGTTTTGGGGATCTGTGTTTCTGCCCGTTTTCCTTGCTATTTGCAGCATTTTGGAGCTGGAAGCTGCCATTTCTACTGTCTTTGCAACATTTTGGAGTTGGAACCTCTCATTTTCCATATAGAATTTGCAGCAATTTGTAACATTCTGGAGCTGGAAGCTGCTGTTTCAACGGTGTTTGCAGCATTTTTGAGTTCGAACCTTTCTTTTTGAATGGAATTTGCAACATTTTGTTGCTCGAACTGTTCATGTAACATGGTATTTTGCAACTACACGGTAGGTTTCGTTTAGGGTTGGTTTCGGGGTTTTGTTTGGTTTTAAGTTTCTTAAGGGTTGGTTTTAGAGTTAGGGTTTATTTAGTTTTTTTAAGGGTTAGGTTAGGATCTTTTTAGGGTGTGTTTTTGGTTTTATTTAGGCTCGGTTTAGGACCTATTTAGGGTTGGTTTATGTTGGTTTGAAGTTGGTTGAGGGTTGGTTTAGGATCTATTTAGGCCTGGTTTAAAATCTATTTGGGGTTGGTTTACGGTTTATTTAGGCTTGGGTGAGAATCTATTTGGAGCTGGTTTAGGGTGTGTTTGGGGTTTATCCAGGCTTGGTTTAGGATCTATCCAGAGCTGATGTAGGACCTATTCAGGATTGGTTTAAGGTGTGTTTAGCGTTGGTTTAAGATTTATTTAGGTCTGGTTTAAGATCTATTTAGGGCTGGTGTAAGGTTTATCTAGGATTAATTTCAAAATTATTTGGGGGGTGTTTAGGGTTCACTTAGAGTTGTTTTAATGGTTCTTTGGTTGGTTTGGGGTTTATTTATGGTTTATTTTATGATGTTTCTCAAGGATTATCTGCAGTATGAGAAGGGAAAAAAAAACGAGGGCAAAGCATAGAAGCAGAAAAGCAGGCAAGCAAAGAAGCAGGGAAAAGCAGGAAGCAGAGAAGCACAGAAGCTGGAAAAGCAGAAAAGCAGGGAAAAGCGGAGAAGCAGAGAGGCAGCACAGTGGAGAAGCAGAGAAGCGAAGAAGCAGCAGGAGCGAAGAAGCAAAGAAGCAAAGAAGCAGAAAACTGGAGAAGCAGAGTAAAGAACTATATATAAAAGCAGAGAAGCAGGGAAAAGCAGAAAAGCAAAAAGGCAGAGAAGCAGAAAAGCAAAGAAGCAGGGAAACAGAAATAAAAAATAAAAAACAAAACCGAAAGAAACATAATTCCCTAAAAAAATAGCCCTCCATAGAAAAGTATAGGAAGGATCTGGAAGGATATGGAAGAATGCTACTTCATCTACTTCTGAAGTTGCCACCCTCAGAGCCAATGCCATCAACAACTCCGGCAGTCAAACTGAAGCAGCACAAAGCCCGGCACGGCGGCTTCCCCTTGGCGCAGCTTGGCGCTGCCACATGGCGAAGTTTCGGAGTAGACTGACATGGCATGGCAATACAATTTTAAATAAAGGCCGTGTCAACACCGAACTTAAAAATATTCAAACATAAAAATTAAATTATAAGAAATAAGGGTATATTATGAAATGTTCGGAAATCCATCCAACTAGGCAGAATGGTGAACTGGTTGACTATCTGAGCAGCTGTTTCAGTCCGGGTCTTGCATATCTACACGAGTTGCTCACCATCGAGAGCTTGCTAGCCATCTTGTTTTGTTTCAAACAAGCGTCCTCTCTGGGAAAGCTGGCCACGTTTGAGATATTTGCAATCCATCCCCTTGTCGCAGAAGAGTCGGCAGTCAGGCTGGTACAAACAGAACCTGGGCTGCGGACGTGCAACACAGGGTCTTGATTTCGTGGTCCATTCAGATTGCTTTTGGATGTCATATGATGTCATGACATGCTTCAGCCCAACCTGCTCCGAGATCTGATAGCTAGTTGGTTGGTGCTTGGCCAGTGCTGGGGCCCTCTTATGATGCCCCCTAGCATCCAGGAGCTCCTATCACAAACACCAGGATCAACTTTCGTCCAGGGGATCTCCACTCATCTCGGTGGTAGCAGCTGAGATATGCTGAGATACTCTGCTGCAAATCTGGACATGCTATTGACCTGGCAGCAGCTTGCCATCCAGATCTCATCGTCGAACTTGGGCGGCTGAAGATCCGCAACCTCTGCAGCACAACTTGTGCCATGGCAGTTGCTCATCAGGACTTCATTCATAAGCCAATGGCAGTTGCTTTCTGTTCACAGCCATCAATTGTTGGCACACTGTGCGACACTGTGAGTGAATCAAACTCTTCGCTTGTTCCGATTGTGAAAAAATCCCAGCCTCATCTTCCACTGAAGTCACTGAAGGCTTCTGACCCATGCGCAATGCGCGCGCCAAATGAAGCGAATCACTGTTTGTAGTTGCAAGAGCATGCAATTGAACATACGAGGCAGCGGCATTTGGCTACTCGCTGACTGCCTCATTGGAACATTCTCAAACCATCTAATTTAATTTAGTGATATTTGATGCTTTAGCAGCAGTTGGTCACTGAAGTCGAGCTCTTCCAATGCTGATGTGTGTGCTTTTGCGGCCCCTGCGTGGCTTGATTGTGCACCATGATCAAGGGGCTGCTGCAGGTCTGAGAAGCCGAGAAGAGGCTAGGCATTTGGAGCCACAAGGAAGCCCTACAAGAGAACGAGATAGCAAGAGCCATGCAAGAGCCTTGCACATGCTAAACTGGGGCCGGCACAAGCCTAGCATAGAAATGTGAGCTGAAAGCGTGAAGGCGCCTCAGATCCGTTAATACTCAACCCATCTCAACCCTCACACGTTTGAGTGCACAAAATCCTTCAAGCCAATTCCAAGCACATTTGGCATCATTTGACACTCCAATTCCACTGCCCAAATATCAGCAGCCGCACACCCAACAGGGGCATTTCGCTGGCCCGCCAGCTCTTTACAGCGCGCTTGGCTTCTCCGTCACAGTTCCATCATGTTCCACCGAGCCGAGTCGTGCGAAGAACAGCTACTTTGGCTGCTTCGGAAGGCTGCTTCATCCTGATTCCTCCTCCCTTCGGGATAAAAAGATCAGGACTTAAAGGACAGGACGAAAAAAACCTGGATATCATGGCTCGACCCGCTGGAAATAATGATTCCCTTGCGTGGGAAAATGATATGATGATATGATATGACATCATTGATACTAACTGATACTATGAGATGTCTTCATGTAAACTTCTGATGAGGCCTAGCCTATGGATGCCTATAGATCTCTATCGATTCAAGGAATGGTTTGTCTCCAAGTCCTCCGCACGAGAGCATTTCAGGCCTGGCTTCTGCCATCTGCCTGTCGATAACTCCACGGAGCCTGGCCTCAACAGCCCTGCAGGATTAGACTTGCCATGACTTGCCTCTTGTCAAATCGGAAGTTTCAAAGGTTTCAAAGGCTAAAGTGGCTAAAGTGAGGCAAGAATTGGCAATACTAAGACTGCTAAGACTGCTAAGAATAAACCTCCGCCTTTGGAAAAACAGGACTGAGCTTTTCTGTAGCTCTGCTCACTGTAAATTCCATCAACTCATCAAAGATACTTCTGTCCGACTTCATTCGGTTCTTCCATATCATATACACAACGTCCTGCCATAAATGCCCTGCCGATGCGTCTCGCCAGTTCCAGTGCACATGCTCAATGCCATGCATGCCGCACTCGTGCCACTCCCCTGTGAGGCAAGGATTGTTGTCCCCCAACAGGAAGGCCTCAAACAAGGCCGCACATGCGCATGAAAAATGCCTCATATGCGATTTGGTGATGCGATCCGATATGGTCTGATTATTGTATGATAATATTATAAATGATATTTACATTTACATATATTTACATGCTTTCCAAATGCATTTGAATCCGGCAAGTAACCTTGTGCGGAAGCCAATATGTCTTCGTTGAGTGCTTCTGATTGCATTTGGAGATGCATTTCTGGCAATTGCGGTTGCTGTGGACCTGAGCTGAAGCTTGACAGAAGCCGAAAGAGGTCTAGACCCGAGCTCCAATCCCCAGGATTTTGAGATCAAATCCCCAAGAGAAAAAAATCATAAACAAATGAAACGAGAAGGCGAACGTAGAAAGCTCATTTAGTGCAGCCCATGTGCCAAACATTGGTTGCTTGGGTTTTCCACAAAGGATGAGTAGATGTAGTACTCAAGGTCAGGAATCTCTTCTTCCCAAGTTCCTTCAAACACGACATGCATATGACACCAACCAAAACTTCGTCTTACGTTGAAATGCTGCTCGGCTTTGGGCCATTCACATCTTGGCAGAAATAACACGCTCTCCTCGTTGAATTCGTTTCATGATTCATTTTCAGATTGCAGAGAACATCATGAACCTCCTCATAAAATGCCATGAGTCATGAATACGATTGAATACCAATTATTTCATCTTCTATCGAGTAATGCTGCTACAAACTAAGTGACAAAGGCATCCAAATGACTTTTCCTGACTTTGGAGATCTGTCCAATGCTTCTTGTAAGAAACAAGTTCGGCCCACTGTACAAATGTAGCTGTCTTGCAGAACAGGTTCCGACAAGACACTTGTCTTGCGAAGACATGTGTAAAGACGCACTGTGGAGCACACTTGTGCAACACCTCTAATTACATGGCTCTGGTAAAACAAGGCAAGGCAGTTTTCCGCAAAACGCCTGTCAAAGACATTTCGCACAACTCTGTCAAGTTAGTCGTCGAGACACTCACACGTGCGCAACTCTTTAGTCTGTCACGTAGCATGGCACAAAAGCTTTCGGGATCTTTAGAGGTTCTGTGTTTTTATTGGCGATAGAAGGAACGTCAAAAACGGCTATTGCCGAGTTAAGCCTATAAGCAAGTAGCTATTTCGGGAGCCAAAGCTCCTCCTGTGTGGCTACATAACGGCTTCCTTCCTTGCGAGGCACTACATCTCAGCATATCTCAGCAAGCACCGTGGCAAACATTAGACTTTCGCGAAACGAAGACTCCGGAACAGCGTGTTTTGTTCTCAGGGAAGCCAAACCATAATCCGAGAGTCACAAGGCAACCATGATATATCAGTGATATAACAGTGATATAACAGTGATATTCAACGGACACAGAGGGCACATTTTTCACATCCATGGACCATAGAGATTCATAGGCCGGGCCGGTCCCCGCCGGTCCTGCTGCTGCGGCATGTCCAATCCACATGGCCAGGAATCCCAGAGTGGAGTCACCGAAGGACAGCCCAGCTCCCCATGGTCCAACACCCACGGATTTCACCACTTTTTTCAACCTGGGAACAGAAGCCACCCACAGCCCAGACCCCACTAGTCCATTGCAGCTGATGGATGCTGATGGAAGGAGAGGAAAAGGAAATTCGATGAAATTCTAGAGTCTTGGAAGACTTGGACGACTGACACAACATTTCATAACATTTCTCTTGAGATGTCTTCTCTAAGTGAGGGCTGTGGCTTGCGGCAATTGCGGCAATTGCGGCAAGGCTCAAAGGTGCAAGGGACATACCTGGCAAGGATTGGGGATCAACCCGCGCCCTTCATTGCTCCTGAGGTAAAACTCATGCAAAGAGAATGGACGCAACAACTGCATGCATTATAACCATTATATATCATTTAATTATAGTATATTATAGTATAATGCTAGGCTCCTGCCACCCATGTGTCATTGAACTTGTTGGTTCCGATGGCACCCTCTTAACAACGAGTCAACCTACCTCGTAGCTCGTGCAGTCTGTCTCCAATCAGCTTATCAGCAGGTGAGTGCAACCCTGAACTACACACACGAGAAATGATGTAGTGGTTTCTTCCAGGGAAACTGGCAGGTTTGAACTCAGTCTGCTTCAGTTTGGACAAATATCGGATATAGCATGTAGCTACACAGCGTACAGCGGCTACACATCTCACAGGGCGCCTCGATAATACATCAGAACTTTGTGCCCGAAGGAGAGCATCCCGTCTTTACTGCTGTCTCTTTGCCTGTGTCGAGCTCACAGCACGTGGCAGAGCAACTTGGGCAAAATCAAATGATGAAAAAACGCAACAGCCATCGTTTCATCTTGGTACTCCAAAAAACATTGCACACCCCACTACTATCACTAGTACATACAAGTACTAGTCCCTTCCTAAACGTCCCACAAACACCATGGTTTAGCAGGGAAATTACAATAATTATTTGTGACAATTTAGGGGGTTAATAATCGGTTAGTACATGTCAATACCGAGTAACTTTCCCAACCGATTGGTGCGGGCCAATTTCACTTCTTCTCTTGAGAGCAGATCTCCAAATTTCTCCTCCGTCTCAGCTGCAAAAGCTACCACCGGCTTGGCGTTACTCACCTGTCGCAGGCGATGGGCCGATGGGCCGGGTATGGCCGGGTATGGCCGGGTGACGAAATGGTGCAGCAGCGCCTGGATGGTCCGCTTTCCAAGCTGCAGCTTCACCAGATCACTGCTGAAAAGCAGCGCTTGGAAGGGCCTGGGGGTCGACCAAATGGTGGCTCCCATGTCGAAGAGTGGTCGGGCACCCACCACCCAAACAGGTGTATGGATCTGCGGCTCTCTGCTGTTGGCATCTGACAAGAAGAGGGACAGAGCCGCAACTTCCTCCCCAGGTGCAGCACTGGAGGGTTGGGAAATTGTGCTAGGAATGGCCCTCAAGTGGACTGTCAATAGATGGACCCAAGAATAAAAGAATAAGAAATGCCTGGGGGGGTTAAAACACAAATTAAATCGACACCAACTTCAGCCGAACTTTCCCACCATCTTGATTGCAAAGGACATCTACAAACCCTGACTAAAGCTGGTGCTGGATCTCAGTATAGATTTGATTTCAATATTGAATTTTACTCGCAACGGCCGTTGCTGCTTTACAGTTCATGTAAAATGTGTGAGCACCAGGTATACACGAATATTACGTGCATGCATTTGTGTGTATGTATGTGCACTGTGTGCACTGTGTGCACTGTGTGTGCACTGTGTGTGCACTGTGTGTGCACTGTGTGTGCACTGTGTGCACTGTGTGTGTGCACTGTGTGTGCACTGTGTGTGCACACTGTGTGTGCACTGTGTGTGCAGTGTGTGTGCACTGTGTGTGCACTGTGTGTGCAGTGTGTGTGCACTGTGTGTGCAGTGTGTGTGCACTGTGTGTGCACTGTGTGTGCACTGTGTGTGCACTGTGTGTGCACTGTGTGTGCACTGTGTGTGCACTGTGTGTGCACTGTGTGTGTGTGTGTGCAGTGTGTGTGCAGTGTGTGTGCAGTGTGTGTGCAGTGTGTGTGCAGTGTGTGTGCAGTGTGTGTGCAGTGTGTGTGTGCGTGTGTGCGTGTGTGCGTGTGTGCGTGTGTGCGTGTGTGCGGGTGTGCGGGTGTGCGGGTGTGCGGGTGTGCGGGTGTGCGGGTGTGCGGGTGTGCGCGTGTGCGCGTGTGCGCGTGTGCGCGTGTGCGCGTGCGCGTGCGCGTGCGCGTGCGCGTGTGCGTGTGCGTGTGCGGGTGGGCGTGTGCGTGGCGTGTGCGCGTGTGTGCGTGTGCGTGTGGTGTGCGTGTGCGTGTGCCGTGTGTGGTGTGGGTGTGGGTGTGGGTGTGGGTGTGGGTGTGGGTGTGGGTGTGGGTGTGGGTGTGTGTGTGTATGCAGGTGCGCTTGTGGAGATATATTTGGAGACAATGCGTGAGCTTTCCCAAGACACCTCCAAAAATAAACATACTACATAATGAAAATAAATAACTAAATAAATAAAAATATAGATAGATAGATATATATATATATATATACAGTAATTATATGTATAATAATTATAATTATATATATATACGAATAATTATGGCGTAATATAATGAAAATAAATGAAAATCAAAAGGAACACTCCGATTTTGGTGAGCTTCTGGCATGACGAAGGCCATATGTTCACTCTGTCCACCTCCAACGTTGCACTTCCCAAGCAGTCGGCCGCCCAAAAAGCCCTGCGTCATAACCTGCATGGCCTGTCCCGCTGCGCTGGTCACGGCCGACATGAAGTCGCCGACACCGGAGCCGGCTCCGCAGCGGGAGGAATTCACCATCGCCACGCCTGACGCGTGGCTAACCCACCTGTGGGAACCTGAGATCCTTGAGATCCTTGAGACCTTGAGATCCTTGATGCGCTAGCTTTGAAAATGGGATCATTGGGAATTTTGAATCAAGTTCCCGGAGCCTGGCAAGGGAGATCCCTCTGAACCATCATCGTAGCGGCAAATCTTCAACTTGGCAGCACTCAGTTTGTAGCCCAGGCTGGCGCCCTGCAACAGTTCTGCGCTGACAACCTGCCGACACCGCTTGCAACTGGGCGCACAAATTCTACAAGCCATTGAAGAAAGAATGGAAAACATGTGGCAATATAATATGTTAATTATTGCGAATTTATGTTACTATGGCAATTAAAATGGCAATATGCAATAGCAACATATGGCAATGTTATGGCAATACATTCTCAGATATTGCCGTGATATCTGCCAAGGGACCTGCTGTGACCCTTTCGAGATCACAATCAACGGACCTGCAATGACCGCAGAACATGGTTGATTATGGTTTCTTGATTTTTCTTGTGGAATTTGCTTGTGATATCCTTTAGATTCCTTTAGTATCAGTATCCTTCAATCTACCTTTCCAAGACTTATCGCAAAATCGTCACATCCAAGAATCCATCAGAATCCTGAAACAAACCTAGGTGGTCGCCTTAGGGCCTAAACATCCTAAACTTTCCAGGAAATGAGCACCATCCTAAACGTGTAGAAAGGCCAGCTACAGCTGTACGGCACCATCCACCTTGGCCGGCCACCAAGTTGGGGTCCGCATAGCATGAGGCCAGCAACGTCCAGAAGGACCGGCCGAAGCCATCTGCTCGTGGGATGCAGCCCTTGGGTCCTGCCAGCATCTGCCAGCCAGACACGAGGAATGCTTCGGCATGTTCCACTTACCAGAATTGTGTTCCATGGTGAAAAGGGAGTGAAGCATATAGCAGGCCCCATCGTTCTAATGTTGTTTTGATGTTTTTTTAACTTCCAACCAGCGTGTTTATTACGTACTGCATCATGTTGAAAGTGTGATGATATTACTTTATTTCTGGATATTTTCTGGCATGTACTCACTTGAGCGCCCATCGGGTTCAGAAGGTTTTAGCATGTTCGTTTCGCATCTTTTGAGCATCTTTCGCACCAAGACTTTTCTTGGAATCCTTGATTTTTCCCATGTTTGTTGCGCTTGTTGCTTCATTCGTTTCCTCATCTACACCATGTTAACCTTGACTCTTTAAGATCACTGATCACAAATTGAAAAATGATGAAAAATGTATATAAGATTGACATTCTTCAGGTAATGACATCAGGTTGAACAAAGAAACCAAATAATTGTCGTGATTGTTTCAAACATGATCATTAACATTGCTTTTTCTTTCTATGTGTTTGGAACCATGGCACATGTACTCCCACAATCGTGAGACACTGAGGCCTGTAATGTTCGAAACAACCCTGCGGCTTCCACACCGAACAGCCCGGACTAGCTTCATTGAAAGTCTGACTCGAAACACTGCTTGTTCCTAGGAGTTAAGGGCCACCGGATGAAGTGCCCAATGTACGCCCCATTACAATCATTACACAAACAGGGCCTTCTCTATCCAGGAAGGCTTTCCTTGGAGCACCCGTAGTTCTGCCATGGCCATGGCCAATGTGCTGCATGCTGCAACAGCTGAGCATAGCTGAGCCAGCGACAAACCATTCTGGAACTTCAGAGTATCACTGCCTCAGTGCCCGGATGCAGCCATGGCAGGCTCTCATTGGCTCGTTCTGAACACTTCCTCACTTACAGTATCTTGCAGTGACAAACCAATAAAATTCTGGGCACATTTTGTTGCATCAAAATGAATGGCACTAACCATGACCCAGCCTATGAGGATCTTGGCCACAATGTAACAGAGTTGCCGTCTGGTATAGCCAACATACCTGGCTCACCATAGAGGATTGGCAAAGACGTTCGAATCAAACCATTTGAAACTACGTTAGACTCGCGTGAAGAATGGAAACGCATCATAGTTAGAAGTTTGATGCATGCTAGAAGTGGTGGCCTTCACCATCTTTGCCAAGCTACTGCATTTCATCGAGTCCAGGTGTGTTATCTTGCCTTAGCTGACCAGGCTGACCCCACTGAGCCTCAGGACATCTCCAGACATCGACATCTCAAGCGGCGCAAGTTGGAGCCCAAGTGGCTTCAAAGGAACTGGGACCTGCCCATCCGTCGCATTCGTCGCATCCGCGGCATCCGTTTCCGAAAACGGTGAGGGACCTCCGAGCAACTCTGTCTTCACCCAGTCCGCGAGGCCTAGGAGCCGGCGGGACAAAGATGGTTAATGTTGACTAATCTTGCTTAACCTTCATCTATAAGATGATGAACCAGTGGATTTAGTGGTGCCATTTAGTGGTGCCCTATTTGCAGACAAGCCTATATACGACCCTGCTTGGGCTCCAGTCTCGCTATTCCATGGACAGGGCGCTTGGATGTTTGGACATTCCGGTATTGAAATGTCATGGAAATGTCATGAAATGTCGAGAGAATATCTCCATTCTTCCATGTCAACTTAGCTGTACATCAAGCAAGTCATAAGCATAGTAAGCCCAGCACTCTTGGCCGTGATCTGCTGCAAAGGGCTATGAGTGTAGCTGAAGTTGCTCCAAAATCCGTCTGTCAGGGGCGACCAAAAGACCCTGGACTCATCCACATTGGTGCGAGGAGAGATCCGAGCTCATTCAGAATACACCACCAAGCCGATATGCATGCAAGACATGATATCATACACATATAATAATACTAAGTATTATAGAGCGGGATAATCTGGTTGTTTCACTCGTCTTTCACTGGCTTTCAGCTGCACATCATCTTGTTTCTAAACGACAGATCTACAACGCAAATACACATGCATACATAATCATGCAAAAATACGCTGACATACAACATGGAACGCTCTCAAACGGACCCCTCACATACTTATTGCACACATACTTGAGTTTACAGAAATAAACTCCTTTCCGATCCTTTACGTCTGTATCTGTGAGCTGATTTAAATCTTCAATTTAAAGCATGAACTGCAGTAGATACGGGATGATACCGACATGGACTACACGCCATTCCGTTGCGTTTTGCAAAATGTACTGCAGTGCCGCAGTGCTGCCTGGATAAACATGTTGCGGAAAGGCATCCTCAAGCGATTGCTTTACCTGCAGGATTGCACTGGCGTTTTACGGCGAGACTGAGGGATACTGAGAACATGGTTTTTGTGGTTCATCCACTGGTTTTTTTTCATCCCAAATAAGATACAATTTTTAGATAGAAATAAGATACAAATCATCCCAAATCCACTGGTTAATCCACTGGTGAATCATCTTTGTCCCCCCAAAAATCCTGCTGGTTGGTTTCATGAATCCGTCGCGTGTGTGATTTGCTGATAGTTGCTGCACAGCAGCCGTGCGAGTGGGTTTGCCCCAACTCAATGTTGTAACTTTGGCACTGGTCAGAACTTGATCAGCAGCTCCTGAATCAGTTTTGAAAGGATAGAAAAGGTCTGCTCAGATCAGCTGTGTGGTGTTCGCCTATGACATCCCTAATGACATTTAATGATCACCTAGCACAGCATATCGCCGCACTTTGCAAGGCCTCAGATATGCCTTTCAACGGCCATGTTCTGTGCCTGTTACAATTTCATACTTCGCTCCTTGCACAACTAGCACAGCCAGGAGAATTGCAAGCATTTCGAAGGCGAGAGGACTGCAGCCCTTCGACCGCAAGCAGTGCCCTTGAGCCGAAATTTGATGTGATTTGGAATGATTGTTGGATTCCTTTAACTCTCAATCTCTGTTCTGATTAGACTACTAAGTTGGCTGTTGCCTGAATCAAGTTTGCTCCTGTCCCAAGTCCCAAGTTGGCCGCGGAAGCACAGCTACCAGCACCGAATGGAACTGGGACTGCGACGAGCCTCCCAGGAGCCCAACCTCAGCAGCCACATGTCAAATGTCACTGACTCAGTAAAACGTTGCGTGCCTTCTCTTCAATTGATGCCCGTGCTCGACGTGCTTGATTGCAAATTACAAATGTGAAAAATAATCTTGTAATATCTTGTAATCTTCTGCTGTTGAATGCTCTTGACACATTGGAATCCGCGAACAGTTGCCAAAATCTCCCTGTCTGTCACGTGCGCTTTTTCAGAGTCCGCAACCCCAATTTGGTCCAACCCATCTCCGAGCTTCCGGAAGACATTCGACACATCTGCACACCAAACGCAATCACTAATGATCCTTCAACAAACTCAATACGTCATCATTCTGACCATTTCTGACCCTATTTGAAGCTACCAGCTTTTAAAAAGAGCCCAAACCGCGACATCTTGTGATATCACGATATCACGATCAAATCATCTTTGGCAACCAAAACTTGCTGGCCGCCAACTGTTGTGCCTCACGTGTGGTCACGTAGTCTGTACTTTGCCCGGCTTGTCCGCCTTCTTCCACAGCGGGAACCTTCTCACTCTCCACCTGCACGTGGAGAGAAAAAAATCAGATGGGCGTTATGTTGGGTAACATGCTGTGCTTTGACCACGGCAGTTATAGTGAGAATGTGGAAATGATATGGAAATACCTCAGTGTTGTAAATCACGGTGGGACATGTGAGGACCTCTTTCCTGTAGTTCATTACGGCTTATTTCAAATCATTTCAAGCGGTTGTATCTCTTCCTTGGACTCAACCCCCGACGTCTTCCTTGGACTCAACCCCCGACGTACCATCTCACACCTGCACATTGCCCAAGGTGATGACGTGACACATCGTACCGCCCAGGCTTTGACCGGTCATGCCGTGGTAGGAACTGAGCCCTTCCAGTTGCAAATGCTCACTGGCGAAAAGGACACATTCTTGATCTGAAGGTTCTTCGATGTGAGGATTGAGTTGTTGCAAGTGCAGGGATGAAAGAATTGTGCCATACTTCTGGGTAACTAGAACTTTCAGGATCTGTGCCATCCCTGCAGCTTCCAAACTCATCCCCGACTGCGTGAAGCCCGACGACAGCGCCAAGGGCAGCTCGTGACTGTCATAGCCGCGCAGGGTGCGCTTCGCCACCTGCTGGGTGATGACCGGAGGGTACAGCATGGTGTATCTTATACATCCTTGTACCGGGTACCGGTACCTTTGGGGGAAATTTTCTGCCAAGTGCTGAAAATCCACCCAATCCACCTTGAATATCCTGGAATCCACTTCGCACTTGTGACTGGTCATCCCACATGATTCTTTCTTATTCTCTATCACGCCAGTTCACGCTTGTGTAAAGTGAGGTAGAACATAGAAATGTGGTGGAATCTCTCTATATTATATATATATATGTGTGTGTGTGTGCGCATTGATGTCTATATATATTTATAGATACATATATAAAGTACACAAATATAATTATAACTTTTAACCAAATAACATATGGAACCATTGTGCAAGATGCTTTGGTCTGTCTGTCACCTCCGCTTCGACTGCATCCTGCATGAAACGTCCATGGCTGAAGCATTCCACTGCATCCACAGTGGCAGGTGCAATGGCTGCTTGCCTCAAAGCCTGCTGAACGAGCTCCCCCTGCTGCGGACCACAGGGTGCAGTGAGCGAAGCCCCACGCCCGGTGTGGTTCGCATGGGTGGCAGCAATGATGCCCTTGGTTTCCACCTCATCTGAGTCGTCTGACTCACTCAGGAGGGTCAGAACAAGGTTGGCCACGCCTTCACTCTTCACATAGCCATCTGCGGATTGATCGAAGCTGAGACATCTACCTTGAGGTGAAAGATGACCCTTGGCACTCAATAAGATCCAAGTGGATCCAGTGAGCATGAGATACACCCCACCCACCAAAGCCGCATGGTTGGGTTTGTACAAATCCGTCTGAAAGCGGAGGCTCATAGCTCCGTTGGTCAGTGCAGCCAAGGCGGCTGCACCCTGAGCATCAACTGTGAAGCTCGGGCCTGCGGCGACAGGGCATCAGGGTTTCGAGGTCACAACCATAAGTGGCAAGACTGTAGGAATATCGGAATAACCAAAAATAACCAAAAAGGTTTGATGTAAGGAGGGCCCAAAACACGTAGCATATCAGATTTATATCATATATCTATTTATATAGATTCATCATGTAAACTTTAACGTGGTTACAAGCATAGGCCCTGCCCATCGCTTGCCCCCATCCAGATCCTCTGAATCCCCGAGATTTCGCTCGCCATCGGCATCCCGCCTTGCAAACCCAAGCAGAAGGAGATGCGATTTGAGGTGATACTGTTGGCCCCTCCAGTTCCTGACATGGAACAGTCGTCCTGAGGGGCAAAGGCAAACTCTGAGGTGGCGGCACCAATATAAACTCCAATCAACGACCTCATCAAGCTCTTCTTCTGAAAACCACCTAGGAAGGGTCGGAAGGCAGAAATCAAAACAATGGAATTGTAATACTTGATTCCTCATGATGTCTTTCATATCTTGACCCAACTTCAGGATGGTGATTTGCAACAGTTCAACATGAACTCCAAAACATAATAAAACAATATAAACCATATAGAAATATAGGAAAATGTTTGCTGGGTGTGCCAGCCACTGAAGTAGAGCGCTTCGTAGGATGTCTCCAGAATGTGCCGTTGCATGGGGTCCATACCCCTAGATTCCACAGGCGAAATGCCAAAAAACTTGTTGTCAAAGAGCTCGATGCCATCAATAAAGGATCCGTGTAGGCAACTGGTTTTAGCCCATTGGTAGCTCTCAACATCTTTGTCATAAAAGTTGGAATGATCCCAGCGGCAGAGCGGCACTTCTTCTATGAGGTCACAACCCGCCTCAGCACCACACCAGAATCCAGCATCACTGTAGGACGCAGGCATCTTACAGGAGGTGCCACGCACGGCCACCTGTGGTCCAAGCTGAAAGACCTGCGAGGACATCTTCTGCCATTGTCGGGGCATGTTGGGATCCAATTCCTGCCCATCCTCGCCAATGGGCTGACTCCGTCGTGAATGTTCCCAGCGTTCTTTGGCCCAATCCATCAAGTCACGACACACGGGGGTCACCAACAAAGGCGTTCCAAATCGCCTTCTCCAGGTTTGACTCGCATCTTCCATTAGGAAACAGCTCAATGCCAAGGACCGTGCTGTGGAAAAGAAGCGATGCGTCAAGCCATCGGCCCTCAGCAGTAGCAAGGTCCCGGGGCCCACATCCAACTCGATGGAGTCCACATCTACGTCCAGCGGTTGGAACTCCATTCGCCCGTAACCTGGGCCTAAGAAGAGCACTAACATCAACCTGCTGTGTCCAAAGACTCCCAGCCATTTGTGACATTCCTTGGGGGTCAACTCTGGCACATCACTATCCTTTGGGATGCCTGCCTTGTGCAGGATGCAGCTGGATCGACTACTCAAACGGCATTCCAACATCGTTTCTAATGGGCTCACTGCTGTGAAGATCTGGGTCAGGAAGGCATCTGCTGATCCCAAGCCCGGCTTCTGTTGAGCCGTGAAGTTGAAGCCTTCCATCTGCATGATTTCCGCAGAGCCTTCCTCGCCTAGGAGACCATCTCCCACCATGAAGGGTGGTGCAGTGAAGTTGTTTCCCTCGTTTTCCTGGAGAAGTTTCAATGCATCCAAGCGAGCAGCATCCACCATCTGTTGATGTGTTCCGCCAAGACCTACGAGGCAAAAACCTTTCTGCAAGAGGTGTTGCAGCATCAGAGTTCGGGACTCATCTGTGAAGAGATCATCCGACCCCAAGGTGGGCGGAGTCGCAACATCCAAGACCTCATCATCTGAGTTGTCATCCACTGAAGCCTCACCGAGTTTGAAGTCGTAGATGACTTCTCGTTTTCGCCTCATTGCTACCTAAAGTCCACCATCTTCCTAATCGCTGAGCCGAAGCGCAACTTAAACAGCTTGCAAATATCCGGAAAACAAGAACACCACCGACACCACCTGTGAATCTTGAAATGTCAAAGTCAAACTACACATGCGGCCACTAATGGCCACTAGTTACTTCATGTATACTTCTAGTTAATGCCCAGTGACATGATATGATTTCCATTGATTTCCTCTCAGTGGCCATGTTTTCTTCTTCCCCGGTGACTGGGTGAGCCACCAGCATCGACACAAAGAAGTCGATCAAAGAATCGTTCAGATGCTGGCCATCGTTCATTCGCACCTCCGTGAGCTGCCGTTTTCCATCGTTTTCCGATTGAAATCCCCTTGAACCCTTGACATTGGATATACAAAGGTCATCAAAATTCCGCAGTGCTTCGGTTTGAATGGTTTCTGTTTCAGGTCCCACCTCTCATTGACTTTGTCATGCGCTAGGCGCCTTTATCCAATCATTATCCAATCCTGCTTGTATACTTCGAACATGCTTGAACACGTCCCTTGAGTCAATCTGCAGGTCATTTCCCGCCTATAGACATATTAGGCATGGCGATTCTAGACCAACAAATCTTACCATCCATATTGACCAATCTTCTCAAAGAAACTAGACTTCAGAGTGTGCACATCGTCCATGTTCCCCCGGAGGGCTAGCACCCAATCCGCAGCAGAGACATCCACTGGTCGACCTTACAAAACAGAACTGCCATGCACTGCCATGCACTACTGCCATGCACTGCCATGTACTGCCAAGTTTCCAGAGTTCTCTGCATTTCTGTGTTGCACAGTCGCAATATGTCGCAGTGCTGTTAGATTTTGTAAGCATCTGTGAGCTATAGCATGCTATAGCGGCTGCTATGGAGCACGCCCCAAATGTCGACTGGCACAGCTTGGGCCTAGGCCGCTGTGACATGCGGATCCGCAGTAGTGGGAAGCGGATCAAAGCGAATCCGGACGTGGCTACTGTATCGCGGGTAAATGCATTGTAAATGCGGGTAAGATCGGGTAAGTAATTGGCTCGGCTCTTGATTATTCAGATTCATATACAAATTCTACCGTGCTCTATACACAAAAGCTTGCGACGGAGCATCTTGGGTTCAACTTCTGGTGCGAATGCTCAAAAATCCGTTTGTCAACTTCTGCAAACTGCAAACATCGAGATGGCACACATTTCCAGCATATTTCCAGCCTTCAGCATTGCTGCCCAGCTTTCCAATACATGTCGGCCTGTCCACCAGTCGGTGGCATCCCACGGACAGACAGTCGGAAGTTTCGACGGTCAACGATTGCCAGATTGCGCGTTGCGCACGCACATGAATATAATGGAACTATATAACATTATACAATATGACAATATTATATAACATTATAATTTATATATATTAAATAGAATTTCTTGGCAAAAGATTTGGGGTGAAATGCAAATGATTTGGGATGGTAAATGCGCCTATAAATATTTCCAAGAAATCATTATCCCATCTAACATCATTTAACTATTCCCTAAGTTCTCCCGGGGGCCATCCAGCCCCCAGCCCTCATCCCGCTAATCCTTTTGCTGTGGCATGATCCAAAATAAATCTACTTTTTTACTTGACACTTGATTCGGGGGGGTGATCTACAAGTTTCGTCCGAAACTCACCTAAATCAGGTCATTTTGGAGTTCTATCTACGAGACCCAAATCAAGTAGCAAGTAAAATAGTTGATTTAAATGCTCTACTTTGTAGATGTCAACATTGGAATTTTGAAGTCCCAGATCTGAGCTTTTCAATTGAAATTTGTAGAGATTCCAGGGAAAAGGGATGTGTTGTAGATGTCTACTGCTGAAAATCACAGGCTGAGATCTACGACATGCTCAGCAAACCTAGGATTTAGGAAAGTTTCAATTGAAACTTGCAGAAGTCAACATCCATTTTTTGGACATGGAGATCTACAAGATCACCTTTTCTGCTTGCATTAGATTTGGGATCAAGACTTCAGGGGTCCTTGCCAAGCAATAGTACGCCACCAAGAAGTCAACATACACCATATCAAAGGAATATTTAGGCCCCCAACTCAATGGGCATCACAGATATTTACAAATATGTAGATTAGTAATAGTAGATCGTCAGATAGGTTTAACACTTAGGTCCCCAAGAAGTCAATGTATACTATACAAGTTTAGGTCCCCAACTCAATGGACACTACAAATATATAATATACAATAATGCTAGCCAAAATTGGGACCCCAAATCAAATGCTTTTGGCCCAAAATCAAGTGCTATTCCTACTATATTGATTATATTGTAAATTGATGTAAATTGTAACTATATAATGTCATGCGTACGTGAGCGTATTTGTCTGAGCGTATTTGTCTGAGCGTATTTGTCTGCGTGTATGCGTGCTGCATCCCAAAAATAAGCTCAAACGATGCAAAACAGTAATCTGAAGTCATCTGTGAAACATTCCTGATCTGCCCAACATTGCCCAACACAAAAGGCTCTGTCACGGGCACCTTGGCAGATTTCGGCATTCAGTTTTTGCAGCTCCTGGGCAGCGATGCTGTCGGTTGGTCTAGGTTGGTCTATGTTGGTCTGCCACCCTTATTATATCCAGGAATCCTAAGATCCACTGTGTCCACATGTGTCCAATGGTATTCCAGTGGTATTCCAATGGTAATAGGATTGGCACCATGTCCGACAGCCAACAGGCCAACAGCTATATGGCCTTGGCACCCGTCCTTAACTTCTTTCTGGGCCTCATCAGCTGCTGCAGCCACTGCCGCACGTGCGCATCGCTGCTGCTGGGCCTCCCCCGTTGCGAAGAGCTTGCAGCTACAACGAACGTGTGCACATGTCTACCACTGAGGATGATTGTCCAAGAATTACTAAACCCTTCAGTCCGTTCAAACTCAAAACCAGTCCAGAATGTCTTTCTGTGTGTGTTTTCTGCCTGTGAGCATATTGCAGCCGTTGGCTTAACACCTGCTAGTACAACACCTATCTGTCAAATTGCAATGCTTCACTGACCTGGAGAAAGAAGTGGTTTGGGTATGTTTGGGGATGATTTCACTTACGAATAGTTCAAATCATCGCTTACAACAGTGACGTCGTGGTGAAGTCGACTGAAGTCGTTTTACAATGCACGCAGTGCTGCTGGTTCTTGATCTATTAAGAAGGCGACTACGGCGACTCCTGGTGCTATGTCATTTCTGCGCCTCAAACTCCTGGCTGAGTTCATCGGCCACCCGTTCCGCTGCTGTTTTGCTTGCAGCGCGGACACGAGCGCGCGCCTGCAAGCGACATGAGACGCTCACAAGTGACTCACAAGGTCTTCATATGACATCCATGAGATTCATGAGATGTCATGAAATGCGGACTCACCTCCAACAGCACCAGGTTCTCGGCTTCTGCATCCGCAGCCTCCATGGCCAGGGTTTTGCTGAGTGCCAGGACGGCACAAGCAGCCGGCCTCCCAGCAGCTTAGACTTAGGTGGGTGCTATGACAGCTATGATCATTCTGCCAAGTTGTCAAGATCTGTCAAGCAGTGCTCCCTGAATCAGAAATGACTGCATGACCACATTGCCACACGCAAGCCACGCACAGGCCACACACTTGAAAGCACAAGCACGCAATGGATACACATTGTGCACTTTTTCCATCCACCTTGCCAACGTCTGTTTTTGGCCAGTCTTTCTGGGTCTGCGGCTATCTGCGGCTATCTGCGGCTATCTGCATCAATCTGCATCTCACTCATCTTTCAATGCACCCACACCACACCATCGCAAAACGTAAGGGAGCAAAGAGATGGCAGTGCAATACACGACGCCAAACTTGATCTTGAAGTAGAACTCTGCCCAGGCTTTCTTGGCCGCATCCTGTGCTGGGCCTCCAAGCATCCACATGGCGCCGCACTGGAAAGGTTTCCACCACTTTTTGTCGAGTCGAGGGCCGAGGGCGCCAGTTTGCCACAGCTTGAACCGAATGGCTAACCGTTTTAACCCAAAGCAAAATGACAAAATGATACAAAATGATACCAAATGCCTTGAGAAATTTAAGAAAGCAAACCAATCAAACCAATCAAACCAACAGAGTGAGCGCGGCAATGGATTCAAATGGATTCAAATGGATTCAAATGGCCCAGAGAGATGAAAGCCAAAGCCTTTAGCGCCTTTAGCGTCCCTGCTTCCCTGCTGGGCCTGCAAATTGCTACCTCCAAGTTCCGCGGATCCTTGTCATCCCGGCGTGCCTGCAGCCAGGAAAACTTTCCAGGTCTGCAAATTGTGTGACCTACCTGCCATACTACCTGTATCTACATCATATACGGTTCTATATTCTATATTCATCTATCTTTATACTTCCACCATCTTGCACCTGTTCCTAGTAGCGCTCAAGTTTCTATTGACTCTCTGAGGCCATGACCAAGCTGCAACACTTTTGCATCACATCAAAGCTGTTGAGCTTACGCAGGCTGCTCTTGGTAAAGAGGTCGTCCAAATGCGCACAGAATTTGGTCAAATGCTCTGCAGTTGGCACCGGCTCCAGATTCAGCAAGTCCACAGTGTTCGATTCGTTCGATGTCGAAGATGCCATCTGCTGTGCCACGATATTCAACACACAGCGGGTGGCGATGGACGTGGTCATGATGGGTGCCAATTCCCCTGACTCGTCACAAATCAGCGCTGCTGCCAAGTCTAGAAGTGAGTTGGCAGCAGTCAGTCGAATGTAGCTGATTTGGAGGTCTTCCACGAAGCTGCCAACACACTGGGCAGCTGCTTCCAGAAAGCTGGCCACTTCACTCTCTTCATGAACAAAATTGTTGCAGCGTTTGGGTAGCTGCTTCATCAAGCTTGCAAGCTTCCGCCAGTCATCAGCAGTATCTGGTGGCGCCAACTTCTCCTTGGCAACTGAAGACTTCACCGACTTCACCACCTCCTGGAAGGCGCACAACCCGGTTGTGCGCCAACTGTACACCAACATCTCATCAGCGAATAGCAGAAATATCCAGAAATGACCGAAAATCAACACTTTCTTACCTCTTAATATCTCTTAATATCTCTTATATCGCTGAAAAGCAACACTTGAAATCAGGATCAGATATCTGTGATATTCTGTGATTGTGATACATATGTGGTTGCCTGGTCCTGATGGGGTTGCTGGCGTTCCTCTTCGCCTTCACCACTCACAGCCGTTGCTGCAGCGCTCGTAGTAGGCTCTTCCCTTCCTTCTCCGGCTGCATTGGCTGCATTGGCTGCGTCGACTTCACTCTCATTCTGGTGGGATGTCTCAGACGTCTGAGATGTCTTTTCCTTTTCAGATTTTTCACTATCCTCTCTCCCTTTGTGCTTTCCTGCGTCAAAAGGTCGAGGGGTGTGCATCGAGACCTGGCTAGAGGTCTCTGAGCTTGCAAGTCGTGCATTCCGTTTTGTAGGCACTGTGTCTTCTGCTGGTCTCTTTCTGTTCAGCTTCAGCAGTTCTCTGTTGCTCAGGTCCAGGTTCGACAAGTCCGTATCTTTCAACAATTTGACCACTTTCACATCTTTCACTTTCCCATCTTTCCCTTCTGTCGCTTCTTTGGTTCCGGTGACTTCGTGGTTTTCATGGCCTTCACTGCCTTCACCAATCCTGGCCTTCTCTGAGTCCACGATGGCTCTACGCAGCCGCATCCGACGCTGTGGAGGCGACGACCGAAGATTTTCTCGGGGCGTGGAGGGGCTGCGGTCACCTGAGCATGGCCAATTCACATCGCAGTCACATCACAGTAACTTGGAAACAAAAGAGAGGACTATATATATATACTAATTAATACATCATAAAATATCCTAAATATACAAAAATCACAAAATAAACATAAATTATCATAAATATACATAAACTCCATTCAATTTGTTTGCATTTTCATGTTCATCAAGTTGCCTTTGGGTTTGCCCTTCTTAGGAGTGGAATGCTCTCTGTGGGACGAATCCCGCTTCCTGGTAACTGGATCACTTCGGGGCGTGGTCAGCGGCTCGCGGTCTGCCGGATCCGACGGTGCCAGCCTCGAACACAGTGGATGTCAATGAGACGACAGTCAGACATCGCCAGTATCACACAGTCACATTCAAGTCATGTTATTAACAAGTTATATATTACACAATATTACACACATCCAATCATCATGTCCATTGAATCATCCAATCCATTCCAATCCAATCGTCATCCAATCGTGGCTTCACATCATTTCACATCACTTTGTCCAATGGAATTCATGTGCGGTTTTTTTTTTTTTCGACAGCCAATTCCAAGCAATACCATCCCCCAGCGGCCCACTGAGGCTCCCCGAAGTCCTAAGCTGAGCTCCAAGCACTTTCGGACGCCCGCGCTTCGGGGCAGGTTTCGGTGCTGCTTCGGGTCCCGTACCTTGGGACATCTTGGGACACGACTTGTCTCCCTTGCTTAACACAATTCCCACCCCTTGACATCACGTCATTCACATCATCGCGTCATTAAACTCCATAAAGAATCATAAAGAATCATAAAGATCCAAAGAGCATCATACTTATGCCATCTGCCCAACATCCGTCCTCATGCTCTTCATCTATTCATATCATTTCAAATTCATTTCATATCTATTCTTCATCTGCCCTGCCGTTCTCTGATGTTCTCTGTCAAGATTCGGGCACGAGCTTCCCGAGCTTCCGAATCCTTCTTGGCGGCCTTCATGGACTCCTGGAAGGATTGCATTAATTCCGCCAGCTCCATGCAGGAACCTCGGCGCTCCAAATCGAGAACTTCAACTCAAACTTCAACGAAAAAAGTTACCTTAATTTAGGACCTGAGCTATATATGTCTTGTCTTTTTTTATATGGTTTTGCAAACTGCTACCTCTGCTACCTCCATCGAGAAGCTCCAAAAACTGCGACGTCAGCGGCCAAAGAGGATGCCACTGCGTCGTGGCGCTCGCAGCAGTGTATTTGTATGTGTACATACATGTGTGTATAATTATATTAGTGTGCCATATGGTATAATAAGTGCATTAATATTATGATGATGGAGACTCGTCATATACAGCCGCGTTTGAGTGCAAGCTGGAGATTTTGCCATGGATCCAGCAAGTTTGCATCATGATGCTGTCAGCCTTGGACTTGGTGGCTTGGTGGCTTGAGCCTAGACGAGGTGCACAGCATGCGTTGCAATGACTGAAGAGGATATCTGATGAGAAGATACACCGGATATGAGAAGATATGAGAAGCTCATTGAGCGCATTATAGCGCATTGACTCATTGCGCAGCTGCAGGATCTTTTTGGCAGATCTGCATCCTTGGGAATGCGGCGATCAAGCTATCGTGATCATCACATCTCAGTGGCTCGGCTCCAAGATACTCCAAGGCCTTGACAAATTGGAGGATAGAATCGGATAGAAAGCATGGGAATATCCCGGCTGCGCACCATGCATCGTTTCTTTGAGGGATCGGCGAAACGATGACATCTTGTTCTTTGATGTTTTTTGAGGCTTGGAATGTCTATGAAAAAATGGGAGGATAAATCGGATATGGGAGGCGTATGACTCCCTGAATCAACACCTGTGCAGGATCATTTGGAATCAACACTCGTACAACCACGATCACCCAAATGTGCGGCCACCCCATTTTGCAAACGTTAGAGCAAGCGGATGCTTCAAGACACTGGTTGAACTTTGGAGATGCAATTCCTTTCCACCAACAAGATCAACAAGGCAATACAAGGCATATTAAATTATTAGCAGCCCCAGAAATGCCCCCGCTCGCGCCCATTTTGCAGAAGGAGCCGGGTCTCGCCGGTGACTAAATCTGGTCGGACCTGGATCTGCATCTGAACCAGGGAACACGTGGTGTCCTGTCACCAAGTCAGATGCCTTCCATTTGAACCTCCAAAAATTCCGACTGCATCGCTATCGCTATAAGGAAGATATACAAAAACATACAAAAACCGAAAGCCGCAGGGCAGCATCGGTAATTTCTAGGGTGGGAGCACATGGCACTCCAAAAGTGTCAGCTTCAGTGGAGTTCCCTTAGTCCATTTCTATGATTTCCGGGCTGCACAGGGATGTTCTTCACTGTCTGACTTGAATGCCAAAAACAAATCAAAACCAAAGTGTCAATTTAGTCAAATTATAAGTTATAAGTTTTACTGATCTATAGTACGTGTGTATAAATGTGTGATTGTATGTAGTATTTTTATAGCACTGTATGCCTCGAGTCCAGCCGAAATCGGAAAATCCTGGATTTTTCTATGGATCATGTTCCTCCAGTGGCTGACAAAATGGTCGCCGTGGCATGCAACGAAATATGAGGACGGTGCAGGATTTGTTCCGGATCCCCAATGGAAAGTGCTCCATTGCATTCCCCACCAAGCTCCCAGCTGCACTCCGCATGTGTGGTATGACAGGGCTCACAGGGCTTGGGGGGCTTGGGGGGCTTGGTTTCGATTGCGGAATGCTGAGAAATATCTTTAAAATTCAATATCAAATGAGTGCACTTGGGTGCCTTTTTGGATGGATGGGCCTAATCTCGAAGCTTAATGGATTGCCCTCCATTTCTTGTATCGAAATGGCGCTGGTTTGTTCGAACCTGCCTCAGCGTTTCTTTGGGCACAATCTTGCAGCGCACATAGACCTCCTCACCGCCCAAGTTCAGTTTGTGCTGCTTCAGGCACCACAATCTTCTGTTGTGGTTGCTGAAGAGTCGGTATTTTCCACTGTATGGACGCTCCACAACATCCAAATGCAGGAATTCGTCCAGCGGATGAGCGCGGCCCTGCCACAGATCGTCCAGCAACTCTTCCACGTATCTTCCGTCCTTGAACCTTCGAGACATCTTCCTTTGCGAAAAGAACACTTCGTCAACTTCCAGAATCTGGTAGCAAACTTGCTCTCCTTGGTGAAAATCTCAATTGGACGTGGAAAACAACCAGGTTGTACCGGGTTACCATCAAAAGCAAAGAATTTGGGCTGCAACCTGCTGCAACCTAGCCAACTAGCAGTAACATGCAGCAACTATCTTTCATTCCATGTCAGCATCCAAGTGGCGGAAACAAACTTCTTGCTGCTGTGGCTGAGCCATCACTTGGGCGATCATTGGTCTTGCACGTTTTGCATCCGGTAGGTGGTCGCCTTGTGCCAAAGGACAAGAAGCAGAGGTCTGGGTTGAAGCTGCACTGTCACTAAACTATCGTTTTGGAACGGATGGGCCATCGCCATTCGTGGCGCTCCAATTCACATTGTCTCGGAATGAGTATCATTGACAGTATCATCTCGGTTTGCTAGCTTTTGTAATGCTTTATATATATATATACATATATATATATATAGCTTTTGTAATGGCATCAAGCCGGGTTTCTCCCCTGCAACGCTCAGGGGTTTCCCGATGGCCAAAAAAAAGAACAATCTTCTGCATACGTGTGAGCACTAGAAGTCCTGGGTCCTAGATTCGTGCACTCCAAAGGCTCCCAAGCCTCCCAACCTGCAAAGTGATGTCTGGTCAATCCGGTCCAGTCTTCTGCCAGTTGAGAATATCCACCCCTGAGATGTTTGACAAGTGACTGCTGTGCTGCCTCTTTGCACCTGACGCCCAGCTAACAAAGGGAATCTACGGCATCGAACACATGAGAATGCGAAGAGAGAGAGAGTGTCACCGTCACTTGCCATTCAAAATCACATAAATAACACAACCCAATGATCCAATGTTGCACAATGTCGGGTAGGACATGGCATGGACATGGCATGGGGCAACTGTCGCATCATGACGATCCAATGTGACTCGTGTGACCCAAACCTTGAAGACCCGTGCTTTTGAGATCCCTCGGAAGATGTTTTTTAAGATGTTGGGATTCCACCCATGAGATCCCATGAAACAGCTGGAAACAGCTGGAAACAGCTGCTCATATCATATGATCCTGGCCTCGTTTCTCAGGGCAAGGAACCAACTGCCAAGGTGCAGTGTGTACACTGTGTACACTGTCTACACCATTGCATCCATTGCGAAGCTGACTGATGTCTCCCAAATTGAGACGATCTTTCCATCTTGTCAGAAACTGTTCGGTGTCTTCTGGTGTGAAGTTCCTTAGACCACACCGGAATACAAGTTCTGATGTCTCAAACGGCACCAGCTAGTCAAAATATGTCAAAATCATGGATATGCATACACCATGGTATTGACTTGCGCACATGTCATCCTACTAGGCCTCTCTACTGTCTCTTAGCAGCTTGATACCATGAACCCACTAAAACCACTAAAATGATACCAAAATTCGCGGTATTCGCAGCAGAAACCTCGGTGGATGCTCACATTTTCCCAGTTCAGTACCGATGTACATATCCATATATATATATATGAATATATATATATATATTAGCTTACATGCCCAGTATATCTGTATATATATATGTGTGTGTGTGGTACCCCCCAAAAAACCGACGTTTTTGAGGTCGCAACGCTTTTGGGACAAAATACCTTGTTCAGTTTGAGTTTCAGTGCGGGGTACAATATATATATATATGTATACATATGTGTGTATTAATTGTTGTCTTACTGTTGAACCCAGGTACTTAGAGCAATTTTGTCACCAAAAGCGGTTGCAAACGTTTGCAAACGAGTCCAGGGGCCCAAGTACTTAGACTGGCTCAGGATTCAAGATTCAAGATCCAAGATCCAAGATTCAAGATCCAAAAAAAACTTCTTGAATCCCGGGGCTAGGATCAGGAGAGTTTCTGGATTCAAGAAGTTTTTTTTGAATCTTGAATCTTGGATCTTGAATCTTGAATCTTGGATCTTGAATCTTGAATCCTGAGCCAATCTAAGTACTTGGGCCCCTGGACTCGTTTGCAAACGTTTGCAAACGCGTTTGGTGACAAAATTGCTCTAAGTACCTGGGTTCAACAGTAAGACAACAATTAATACACACATATGTGTACATATATATATATGGTACATGAGTCAAATAATGATTTTGAAGTGGAATTTCATCAGGTAATGGCATTTTTTGAAATAGATTATCTGCAATTACAATATTACTATTCAAAGCACATTGACAAATCATCATTTGCAGATTTTGATTTTCTTGTCCATATATCAAAAATATTGTTATATATAATTTTTCATCTTTAGTGATATTTTTAAATAGTTGAGTTACTAAAACGTCTGCAAGGTTATATTGTTTATATGTTATTAGGTAAGATATAAATTCAATTTCGTCTTGTAGTGTTTGGTTTAAGCCATTTATATAAAATGTTGCATCATGTCATTAATATCAATTGTTTTTTGTAAAGAGGTTTTTGAATTCTTGAGTAATTCAATTGCTATCATTCCATAAGAAGTTGCACAGTATTTTGAAGTTTTTTGCAATATTTTTGACAGTGCATGATATTTTAGATTTTGCATATTTTGCATGCAAATATGCATAAAATAGCAATTTCTACTTATTTGATTTGGCGATGTAGCAATAGCATCCATATATATAAGAAAAATGTTTTAGTGCAATATTATATTCTTTTAATTTTACAAGTGCTATAAATCCTGCCAAGTGATGTATGTTTATATATTAGTCAATATCTGTTATATTTGTGCTAGCTTGATTAAGTATTTTTTTAGGCAAGATTGTATTTTTTAATAATAATAATAATAGTTCCCTTGCATAGCATATTCTTAAGTTAGTATTTTGTTCTATATATATTGTCTCTTTAAAAGAGGGGTTTAATATAGGAGCTAAATTTTGTTCTATTATATATGGGTTTAGACGTAGATCGTTTAGGGAAAATAAATAATCAAAAATTAATCCTTGATTATATGGATGATTATTTATAATGTTATGATACATTTTGTGCTTTGAATATTCTTTTGCTTTATTAAAATGCGACATTACACTATCTTTTTATCCATATCTTTTAAAAAACTGAAAAAATAAGAAATATTATTTAATTGGTTTTGTAGTAATAGATTGTCGATTTTAATTAAGTCATCTTTATAAGATATATATCTAGAAAATTGATCAAAGAGTGCCGTTTCTTCTTGTATATTAAATTGAATATTTTCTTGCCATATTTCTTTTATAAGTTGACATACTTTACTTTCTATTGAGTGAGTAGGTATGTTTAGTGTTTGAAGAGCATTAAGGTAAGATTTTTTGCATAAGATAGTTTTTGGAGGATATCTTTCACACCAATTAATGACTTCATAAGGTGTTAATTGATGTAAATATTGCTCTGCGTTTTGAATTAATACAGATATTTGTTTGCCAATATGGGTTATAATATATAAAATATTTTACTTGTTGTACGTATTTTAAGTGATTGTTACTATTTAATAAAAAGTCTGATTTTATTGCTGTAAAAAAGCATTTATTTGCAATTTTCTTGCTAGCGTTCAAAGCAGTTTGCCAATCATTTTTAATCCAACTATTCACAGCAAGAGCTTCAAACTTTATTTGTTTGATTTTTTTGTAGATTGTAAAAAAATGTGTGTATGTAATAAAAAAAAAGTAAGCAAGCAGAAAAAACATAAAATAGCATGGTTTAGATATTTTGGCGCAATTTGAATCACCAGCTTTTTCCCATATGTTTCTAGTTCTTCTTTAGAGAATATGGATATGATATATTTATTAGTGGCTCAAAAGATGGAATAACTATGGTGGAAGGATGTGGAATGGAATTTCCTGAAGATAGATTATTAAATATCTTAGATGAGGCTTTAAAGCTTTTTACTCCAGTTATAAACTTGATATTACTAGTAGATATGAAATCTAAAATATCAAAAAAAAATAGTATATTTCTAATATTCCTCTAGATTCTCATCTTTGCTCAACACAATTGTCAGAAGAAATCGAAAATCACCCCAGTATACTTAATTTAAAAAGCAAACTATTTACTCAATCTTCAAAACAAGAAAGAGAAAAACGTCGGTTTTGGGGTGGCTGGCATGTATATAACACATTTGTAATTTGTATTTTACGTGTATGTGTGTGTATGCACATGTATGTTGCAATTATACGCTGTATGTGCATGTATGTATATAAAAAATATATATATATATACGTATATGTATATGATTATATATATATGTTTATGTTAAAAATAAATAATATGTGATTCTTATTATTTATATAATATATATATATACACAATTATATGCATACATTACGTACACATGATCAAACATCTGTATGTAAGTGCGTGCGTGCGTGCGTGCGTGCGTGCGTGCGTGCGTGCGTGCGTGCGTACGTGTGTTGTTCACTGTTGCTTCAAGTTGCACCAAGTCGCTCGAAGTTGGAAACACCTTCAGTCCGCAAAGCCTCCTGAACCTCCTGGACATGCAAAACCGAAATTGAGGCTGAGCATTCTGAGCCCACTGATGACAACAAAGAATCAACTCTGCTAAGTCTGGGCATGAATGTCACCCAGCCCAGAACTGGGGTGCATGAGGTGGGAAATGCACAAGGCCAAGGAAATTTACGCAGGGGGAACATATGGTGCAAATCGGGTTTTTATCGGGATAAATCGGGCATATCGGAATCTGATTGACATCCTGCTGGCATATGTCAAGCTATGTCAAGCTAAACCGAAGCTCGCACCCACAGCTCCTGCAAGAAATGCCAAGCCCATCCCGCAGGAATCGCTGCCTCCGGATGCGGAGGATGACCAGGATGTGCAGAGATCAACCGCAACAGGAAGATAGAGAAACTATGAGAAACTCATAGGAACATATAGGAACTGTCTTTTAAAAGCGTTTAAAAAATCCTGTTCTATATGTTTCTATCATTTTCTTCCCATCTCAGTCCGTCGTTTTCTGCTCGAAGCCAAATAGCCGCCTGTAAAATCTGTGAACAAAGAAACAAACAGAGATAGATGTTGATGATATCATTGATATGATAGATTATAAATATTAAATATTCATTAAATCAAATGTAATGTGAGCGCAAATGATTATACAATATTATACATGCATCATGATCATATTATATGATCATGCATTAATGCATATTCCGGGTGTGTCAGTATGTCAGTGTGTTTGGGAAAGTGTGGCAGATTATGGCAGAATGCTGTAACTCACCTTTGGTGGCACAGGTGCAGCTGCCATCTGGGCAGAATCCAGGGCCTTCAAGGCGCCATCGAAACATCGACAGATAATTGAGAACATTTGAGAACGTTCATAGAAAATGATAGAAAAATCATAACACAATAATCTTCAATAATCCAATCATATCCAATCCACAACTCAGAACAATGGAAAGCACGACAGGATTGTTTGTTTTCGAGATGTACCAACTCTGCAGTGAAACTGTCTGTATACGTGCCACCTCCTTGGCTGCAGGCGCGAGCATCGTTGGGCACGAGTCGAGTTTCACTGGAATCACTGGTTCTTCCTGAATGTGCAAGACTCGGAACCCAGTGGAATCAGCCAAGGTTGAAAGAGCAAGTGCTGGCTACACTGGTGAATCCTGGTGAATCAGGCACAAATGCAACTACAAACCACTGCTTTGACAGTTCACTGCCGCTGTAGCGGCATGGGCACATTTCTGTGTGTTCTCACCGCCCAGGTTCTACCGTCCGGTCAGAATGGTTTGGGGCCTGGGGATGCAGACATAGCAGCTGAAAAATCCCACAAACTAAAGAAAGCTGCACCACAAGCAGCACAGAACCAAGAACTTACAAAGAACGGATGTTTTCCGCCAAAGTCACCAAAACAAAACAAGACTCGGGACCAGAATGACAAGGATTCAACAAACAATGGCCTCGTCCTCATACTTTAGTGGCAAATCTTCCAGCCAAGGTCGTTCCTGAGCAGCTTCAAGCCATCAAGAGGTTGAAGAGGTTTTGACATGTTTCGACATGTTTCGACATGTTTCGACATCCTGTTCACTCCATTGCTCTCTTCTTGCCTTCAACACAACACATTCTCCGGTCCTCTACTTATGTCAGTCTTTGTCAGCCCCATCGGGCCAGAATCGCTGAGTCAGGAGCATTCGAAACGTCGAAAGTGTGGTTTTGAGGCGGTGGTGAATGAAAGGTAGGTTGGTGATGAAGAAAATTGCGCTGCATGTTTCAGACCACAGCCGAAGGAATTGTTTGGCTCACCGCCCTGGTTGAGAACTAGTCGGGCCCCATAGGCTACTTAAGGACTAGTCACGCTACGTATCTGATTAGCCCAAGGCCTAGTTGGCTAACTAGGCCCGGCTGCTGTTAGAGGCTAACTAGAAGTAGGCTCCCGGAGACCCACGGTTTGTTCTGGAACGGACTCTTGGGATGCGGGCTTGTTCTGGAAACAACCTCCTACATTGTGCAGGATCCCCAAGTGGCCATACAGTATCTAGCCCACAAAGCCCCATATCTAGCCATCGGCTACCTACCCGGCCCAACGGTTCAACGTGATCATTGAGATTAAAACTCCCAGGGGTTACTGAAACTACTTGCCACATCTTGCAACTATTGTCTTGATAGCAACTCCCAAGTTTAGACGACTTGCTGACTTGTTGCTAAGACATGTTACAGTACGTATCAATCTCACTCAAAGCCACCAAACGACGAGCACGCCAAGAACCGAACCCTGCCATAGACAGTGGGGCGGTAAAAATTAAAAGAGGATCGAATCAAGACATATATATATATATATACATATCAAAAGTAAACAAAGTTTGAATTTCCACCAGCCGTTGCTGTCGCACATGAAACTCAGGTTGCGGACGCTACCTTTTGTGCAATGCATGTCAACTTGCCAGCAGGGTCTTGCATTGTATCGCTAAAGGAGGGACTTCCCCAATTTCCCAGAGGCAAACCCTGCATCACCTCAACATTGGCCAGAAACATTCGAATATCTTAACAACATTCCCAGTCAAACTGGACTACGCCCCAAGTCTAGCACAAAAAAACTGGACTGCCAAGCTTCCTCTGGGAGCGTGGATGTCGACCCACTTTCTTGCGCCTAGCGCCGTTTTTCAACTAAATCCGGCAGACTAAACTCTGGGGCTTTCAGGCGGCCTGGGTTTTAAGCTCTTAACAGCAGAAAGTATGAATCTCCGGGTTTTTGCCTGTACCGCCCTCCATTGCGCCAAGAAACATCATCTAGACTCTACACCATCATAATCCGCCCATGAGTCATAGTGACGTTGGCAACCCTGTCCCCATTGCACCATTTGCTTGGTCAAGAGCTGCGAAACTAGAAGGTTTACAGTACCGTTTTTCGCCCTCAAAAGTAGATGCCGCTGATGGCTTGTGTGTCCTAGTGTTTCCTCACCTTCCATCAACATCAAGCGTTCCGTTGACTCTCACTTTGGGTCGGACAAGTTCAAAACAATACTGCGGAACCGTGGCTGCATCTCCAGGACAACCAGAAAAAAATCAACAGTCTGGGTCTTCTTTTGTGGCATCCCCAAACATCCCCAGATTTGGATGCCCCGAATCTCCTGGCACAGCGGCTTCTCCTTCCTCCACCAGCTATGGTCACAGGCAGTGGCGGTCGTCTGTTCCTCCAGCGACAGGCTGCAGCAGCCCACAAAACAACGCAGCAATTCCTACAAAATGAATATGGGGCCTGCTTCCCAAAATGGTCTCAAATCCTTTCGAACAAGTAGGCTCGAAGGAAACGCATAAGCAAAACAAAAGACTATATGTTTTAGCATTGACTATACATGACCATACGGACGCACAAAAAAACAGGAAACATCAGGAACCATCAGGAAACACAAAAAACAATGCCCGAAAAACCTTGGAATTTCAGGTCTAAAAAATCATGCCTTGATAATGCCCCGCTTTGGTGCCGGCAATGGTTTGTCACATGTTGCTTTTTTTTGTGTTGCCTTTTGCGTGTCAAGATGCCGTACGTGCCAACCCCCCTTCAGGCACCCAAAAAAAAACAGAGTGTCACCGTTCGAGTATATAAAAAGAAGAAACACACATGGACAAATGATGCAAACTTGCCAATCAAACGCAAGATTTCGCAACGCATCTGGACAAACCCTCCAGCGCATTCAATCAAAAAGAACAAAGGCTGAGAACATCCGAAAAAGCAGATTGGCAAGGATTCAGCAAACAATGTGCAAACCATGGCCTCGTCCTCATGCTTTAGCAGTCCAGGAAAATTTTTCAGCCAAGGTTCCTGAGCAGATTCAAGCAGGAGGCTCACGGAGTTTCAGCATCCTATCCACTCCAGGCTGCAACCCTTTCGCCTTTACAAAAAAGTGCACCGGCAAGAGACCGGTGTAAAAGTGTGGGGGTAGGAAGTCCATGTACCAAACACAAGCAAAAGTAGCTCTGGAACGGCAACATATGAGGTTAGACGTTCTCGCAATTGCAGCAGCAGGACCTTCTATATAGATCTACATTATATAGAGGAAGCCACAAGAGCTTCATACAAGAACTTCCTGTGAGCGTCCCAGAAGTACTTTGATACAAGAACCATCGCAGAGAATCTGCAAGATCTTAATGCAAGGACCTCTTGAGGAGGATTTCAACAGGATCTCCACACAATCTTCTCACAAGGACGTGCACGAGATCATGTAAGGACACCGAGAGGATTTCACCAGGACCTCTTCAATAGCTTCTCACACGGACCTGCGCAAGATCATGCAAAGGCCTCTGATGGCATTTCACTAAGATCTCCACAAGATATTCGCACAAGACCTTGGGCAAGATCTTCACGCCAGGATCCCTAAGAGAATTTCACAAGATCGTCATAAAAGGACCTGCTGCTGCTGGAGTGGATCTCACAAGATCTTGTTACAAGAACCTCCCAAGAGCCTCCCACAAGAGCTTTCAGACAAGCACCTCTAAGACATGCCTCAAGGGCCCCGGTTTGTGCCAGGAATTTGTTTTCGCCTTTCCCGGCGGTTCTTTTCCCCGCGCTTGCCGCATCAGCATCCATGTTTTAGTTCAGAGTTTGCTGCCCTCTCCTCTTCTTCCCTGGCAGAAAGTCTTGCCAGAAAAAATGCCAGAATACATGCCAGATAGAATGTCAGAATATATGTCAGATAGAATGTTTTGGTCAAAGGAAGTTTCGTAGAGAAACTCAAAGTTGCGGATTGTTTTATTCTCGCCAGCACAAAGATAATTGTGTCCAGTTGGCATGTGCCTTAAGAGATCATGAAGTCACAATTCTCACTAGCCCAAAGATCATTGTGTTAAGCTGGCATGCGCCTTGAGAGATCATGAAGTCACATTCTCACTACCCCAAAGATCATTGTGTTCAGTTGGCATGCGCCTTAAGAGATCATGAAGTCACATTCTCACTAGCCCAACATTGTGTCCAGTTGGCCCCTGCGTGAAGTAGAAGAGTAGAGTAGTATAGAGTAGGGTAGAGTAGAGTAGAGTAGAGTAGAGTTAGAGTAGAGTAGAGTAGAGAAGAGTAGAGAAGAGTAGAGTGGAGAGTCGAGCAAAGAAGAGTAGATTAGAGCAGAGTAGAGCAGAGTAGAGTAGAGGAGAAGTAAAGCAGAGCAGAGTAGAAGCAGATGCAGAGGTGAAGAGAGCAGCGAAGTTGCGATTCTGATTGTGTAGGTTTGCAAGTCATTTTGGCAGATTGCATTGGAACTGCTACATCCAGGATGCGGTTTGAATGTGATGATTTGCACGAAACATTGTGTTTTTGGGTAAACAGAGGCTCCGTTGCGGAGAAAAGTTGGCTCACGTGCGCGACGGTTGCGGGCGGCGCCGCTTTAGCGTGGAATCATATTCTCGATCTGCGCGCGCAGTGGAACTGAGGGTTCCAGGTGGCTTTTTCTCTTCTTTGCTGACCCTGTGCTATGGTAGTTTGCATGTGTTGAGGTACTTTGTGCATTGGAACTGGTGCATCAAAGCGGTGTGTTCTACAGTACTATGTTGCAATTCTATTGTGTTTTGCGAAACTGCAAGTGCGGATCGCAATGGAATGGCTGCGCCAAGGTTATCAAAGGGTACTTGTTCTTCAGTAGCGCCTTGCGAGTCTGATTGTGTTTTGCGGATCATTGTCGGCAGATTGCAATACTGCTACATCAAGGATGCGATTTGAATGTTAGGATTTGCACCAAACATTGCAATATGTTTTTTCGGGTAAACCGAGGTTCCGTTGCGGAGAAAAGTTGGCTCGCTTGCGCGACGGGTGCGGGCGTCGCCGCTTTAGCGCGAAATCATGCCTGATCTGTGCGCGCACTGTAACTGAGGTCTCCAAGTAACTTTTTCTCTTCTTTGCTGATGCTGTGCTGTGCTATTGTGCTTTGCAGCTGAGAATCGTGAATCGTATTGTAGTGGCTGCATGAAGGTTGGGACTTGTGTTTGGGCAGTAGAATTTTTCCATTTTGGCTTTGGCGCTGATGATTTTCCTTTTAATTTTAAATTTCGTTTCAAAAAGTGCTTCAAACTCGTCGTTTTTACGCTTTGGCGTCGAGATCTTCCGGTTTTGGAGCTGCAATTTGTGTAGCCGTTGTGTGTACTAGGTGTAAAAGCTTGCTCTGTGTAAAAGCTTCTCTGTGTAAAAGCTTGCTCTGTGTAAAAGCTTCTGTGTGTAAAAGCTTCTCTGTGTGAAAGCTTGCCGTGTGTTAAAAGCTTCTCTGTGTGAAAGCTTGCTCTATGTAAAAGCTTCTGTGTGTAAAAGCTCCTCTGTGTAAAAGCTTGCTGTGTAAAAGCCTCTCTGTGTAAAAGATTGCTCTGTGTAAAAGCTTCCCTGTGTAAGAGCTTGCTCTGTGTAAAAGCTTCTGTGTGAAAAAGCTTCTCTGTGTGAAAGCTTGCTGTGTGTAAAGGCTTCTCTGTGTAAAAGCTTCTGTGTGTAAAAGTTTCCCTGTGTGAAGCATCTCTGTGAAAAGAGGTGTGAAGAGTGGAGAAGAGCTGGCAAGAGTTGAGAAGAGTTGACAAGAGATGACAAGAATTGAGATGAGCTGAGAAAGAGGTGAGATCGGTTGAGCGGAGGTGAGACGCGGTGGGAAGAGTTGAGAAGAGGTGCAACAAGGTGAGAAGAGTTGAGATGAGTTGAGAAGAGTTGAGAAGAGGTGGGCAGAGGCGAGGTTCGTTGAGAAGAGTTGAGAAAAGCGGGGAAGAAATGAAAAGAGTTGAGAGGTTGGAAGAGATGAAAAACTTTGAGAGCCGTTGAAAAGAGTTGTGAAAATTGAGAAGCTGAGATGTCTGAGAAGAGCTGCGAAGAGCCCAGAAGTGGTGGTCACAGTTGAAAAGGGGTGAGGCAAGATGAGGACGAATTCACAGAACAGAGTTGGGTAGGCAAACCTTGTCTTTGGATCCTATAGCCTCACAGTCCTTAAACCTGGAAACTTACGCCACCCGCCTTGCGCGGGTTCTACTTGTAGGGACCACTCGAAGCAAGTCATTTTTGTTTTGCCTTTTGCGTGTCAAGATGCCGTACGTGCCAACCCCCCTTCAGGCACCCAAAAAAATACAGAGTATCACCGTTCGAGTATATAAAAAGAAGAAACACACATTGGACAAATGATGCAAACTTGCCAATCAAACGCGCAACGCATCTTGGACAAACCCTCCAGCACATTCAATCAAAAAGAACACAAAGGCTGAGAACACCCGAAAAAGCAGATTGGCAAGGATTCAGCAAACAATGTGCAAACCATGGCCTCGTCCTCATGCTTTAGCAGTCCAGGAAAATCTTTCAGCCAAGGTTCCTGAGCAGATTCAAGCAGGAGGCTCACGGAGTTTCAGCATCCTATCCACTCCAGGCTGCAACCCTTTCGCCTTTACAAAAAAGTACACCGGCAAGAGACCGGTGTAAAATTGTGGGAGTAGGAAGTCCATGTACCAAACACAAGCAAAAAGTAGCTCTGGAACAGCAACATATGAGGTTAGACGTTCTCGCAACTGCACCAGCAGGACCTTCTATGTAGATCTATAGAGGAAGTCACAAGAGCTTCATACAAGAACTTCCTGTGAGCATCCCAGAAGTACTTTGATACAAGAACCAGCGCAGAGAATCTGCAAGGTCTTAAATGCAAGGACCTCCTGAGGAGGATTTCAACAGGATCTCCGCATAATCTTCTCACAAGGACGTGTACGAGATCATGTAAGGACACCGAGAGGATTTCACCAGGACCTCTTCAATAGCTTCTCACAAGGACCTGTGCAAGATCATGCAAAGCCCTCTGATGGCATTTCACTAAGATCTCCACAAGATATTCGCACAAGACCTTGGGCAAGATCTTCACGCCAGGATCCCTAAGAGAATTTCACAAGATCGTCATAAAAGGACCTGCTGCTGCTGGAGTGGATCTTACAAGATCTTGATACAAGAACCTCCCAAGAGCCTCCCACAAGAGCTTTCAGACAAGCACCTCTAAGACATGCCTCAAGGGCCCCGGTTTTGTGCCAGGAATTTGTGTTTGCCTTTCCCGGCGTTTTTTCCCCGCACTTGCCGCATCAGCATCTATGTTTTAGTTCAAAGTTTGCTGCCTTCTTAGGCCACAGTGAGGCAGTTGGTGCGTTAGACCTTTCGTAGGGTTTGTTTTTCGGTGTATACTTCGTTGGCCGTTCCTGGTTTTGGAAGTTACAAGTAGTTAGCGGTCTTATGGTATACACAAAATACTTACAGATTAACTTAGAAAACTTAAAGGATTTAAAAATATGGTAAAAAACTTGAAATGTTGTGGAACTTGTGCGAATTTGTAAGTTACTTGTAAGTATTTGTATGTGTTCGTAAATGTTTCTAAATGTTTGGGATTTTGTATTTCTGAAACTGCGATAGTTTTGATTTGTTTGGACAAAAAATGTTAAAGCAAAAAATGGTCAATGAAGGCATGAGCGGCCCAATGGCGCCGTTTTCTGTTTTTCAAATCGCGGCTCGAGAGGCCACGTTAGACAACAAGGCAGAGAATTTTTTTTGCTAGTGCAGAGCATTCATTGCCATCCCAAGACCAGAAACTTGGCGAGGATCCCAAAGTGCTGACGACAATCTCCTCTTTATGTAAATCGTTATATCTCAAAGGTTCTTAATGTGTCTTTGTTTATCTTTGTCTTTAGGTATCTAAATGTATCCTTTGAAAACCGTTCAAAAAATACACAAAGATACATGTATCTTTGGAAAAAACAAAAGATGCAAAAAATACATGTACATGCTTGCTTGCTTGCTTGCTGGCTGGCTGGCTTGCTTGCTGGCTGGCTTGCTGGCTTGCTGGCTTGCTGGCTTGCTGGCTTGCTGGCTGGCTGGCTGGCTGGCTTGATTGCTTGCTTGCTTGCATGCGTGCATGCGTGCGTGCTTGCTTGCTTGCTTCCTTGCTTGCTTGCTTGCTTGCAGTTGGGACGAAAATCACCGGGTGCCCGCCTGCCTGCTTGCTTGCTGCCTTGCTCGGTTGCTCGGTTGCTCGGTTGCTCAATTGCTCAGTTGCTTGCTGGCTTGCCTGGGATGCTTGCTTGCTTGCTTGCTTGCGTGCGTGCGTGCGTGCGTGCTTGCTTGCTTGCTTGCTTGCCTGCCTGCCTGCCTGCCTGCTTGCTTGCTTGCCTTGCTTGCTTGCCTTGCTTGCTTGCCTTGCTTGCTTGCTTGCTTGCTGGCTGGCTGGCTGGCTGGCTTGCTTGCTTGCTTGCTTGCTTGCTTGCTTGCCGGCTTGCCCTTGCCTGCTGCCTTCATTGATGGTGAGAGGATGATCGGGGGAAAAAATTCCGGGGGAAGGGGGAAGGGAGAAAAAAAAAGAAACAGTAAAAATAAGATACCCCTCATGCGAGGATCCCACCAGGATCTCCACAAGATCTTCTCTTAAGGACCTGTGCAGGATCATGCAAGCACCTCTTAAAGAGAAATTCAGCAGGAGTCGACATGCACATGAATATCTCTCAAAAGCAATCATATGCAAGAATTTACAGCAAGAATAACATCTCACAAGCAGCATTCTATGCCAGAATTTACGCCAAAAAAATGCCGCAGAACCTGGCGGTGCACACTTTGTGCGAAGCGGCAATCGAAATGCACATGGACATCTCACAAGTGCTATTCTACGCGAGAATTGTCAAGAAAAATGCCGGGGCCTGAGACTGCGACAACCCCAGTACCCGGATTTTGTGCAAGCCTGCAGGGTCGACATGGACATGGACATCTCACTGACAAGAACAACTTTATGCAAGAGACTTTGTATGAGCCTGCGCAACCGAAATGCACATAAACATTTCACAAGAGCAATTATATGCGAGAATTGGAAGGAAAAGCCCAGATGGAGCACCCTGATCGAACCCCGGCCTTTAACCCCTACCGTAAGAACCCCTCAGTGTGGACACACTGCTTGGGGAAAAACATGCTTTATCTTGCTTTGCTCCTTTCCTGATGTCAGCCCCACAGGACCAGAATCGCTGAGTCAGGAGCATTACAAAGGTCGAAAGTGTGGCTTTGAGGTTGGCGAATGAAATAAGGTGGGTTGGTGGTGAAAGAATTGTTTGGGCCACCGCCCTGGTTGATAACTAGCCGGGCTCCTTAGGCTACTTAAAGACTAGTCACGCTACGTATCCGATTCGCCCATAGCCTAGTTGGCTAACTAGGCCCGGCTGCTGTTAGAGGCTCCCGGAGGCCCACTCGGACCAAGGCTTGTTCTGGAAACAACCTCCTACCTTGTGCAAGCAGCCGTATCTAGTCCGCAACTAGCCCCACATCTAGCCACGTGGCTACCTACCCGGCCCAACTTGGCCATTGAGATTAAAATCCAGTGTCTAAATAGCAACTCCCAAGTTTAGGCAAATTTTAGGCGACTAATGTAACACGCGTCCACGCATCAATCTCACTCAAAGCCACCAAACGACGAGCAGGCCAAGAACCAAACCCTGCCATAGACAGTGGGGCGGTAAAAGAGGATCGAATCAAGACATAGATCAAAAGGAAACAAAGTTTGAATTTCCTACCGCTGTTGCTGTCGCGCATTGAAACTCAGGTTGCTGATGCTACCTTTTGTGCAATGCATGTCAACTTGCCAGCAGGGTCTTGCACTGCATCGCTAAGGGAGGGACTTCCCCACTTCCCCAGAAGCAAACCCTGCATCACCTCAACATTGGCCAGAAATATATCCATCAAACATTCGGACCCATTTTCACATATCTGAACAACATTCCCAATCAAACTGGAACACGCCCCAAGTCCAGCACAACAAAGCTGGACTGCCAAGTTTCCTCTGGGAGTGTAGATGTCGATCCACTTTCTTGCGCCTAGCACCGTTTTTCAACTAAATCCGACAGGCTAAATCCAATGGCCTCCTGGCGTCTCTTGTGGATCTTGATTGTTCGCAATTGTTCTGTCTGTTCTGTCCTTTGTCTTTGTCTAGGCTCTAGACTTTCCCCCTGGCGTGGATTTTTACCCCGTCTACCTTTAACCCTCCTTCCCGGTGTAGCTCTTCTTCGTCTTCGTCGTCATCGCCCTCTTCGTGCTTTTCATCTTCAGTTTTCGTTACGATGTGCTGGGCTCAACTCTGCCCACGTCTTGCCCAACACGCGCTTGGTCTTGAACATGTTTGCTGTTATCTCTATGTTTTTTTCGGCCTTTTTCGCTGTGTTTTCCCATTGGTTTGCTCCATCGTTCTAGTATCCAATCCATCAGGCTCCCTTTCGGTGCCGGCAATGGTTCGTCACATGTTACACTTTTCCCCCACCTGTCAGGTGAGGGTTGTTTGGTTTTATGTCAGCTAGCCGCCTCCTCCTCCTTCTCCTCCTCCGCCGGACCTCAACTGCAAGCTCGTGATCGCAGTGGTCCCTGCCGGGCCCGCAAGCCCCGGATCAGAGTAACCGGACCTCAACTGCAAGCTCGTGATCGCAGTGGTCCCTGCCGGACCCGAGCAGCAAGCCCCGGATCAGAGTAATCCCTGCCGGACCTCAACTGCAAGCGCGAGATCGCAGTGGCCTCCGCCGGACCCGAACAGCAAGCCCAGGATCAGAGTGGTCCCTGCCGGACCTTAACTGCAAGCGCGTGCAGTGGTCCCCGCTGGACCTCAGATAGAATGCCAGAAAGAATGTCAGAAGATATGCCAGATACATATGCCAGCAAGTATGTCAGAATATATGCCAAATAGAATGCCAGGGAAGAGGAGGAGAGGACAACGCTGATGAAATCTAGAGCGAAGGTCTCTAGATTTCATCAGCGTTGTCCTCTCCTCCTCTACCCTGGCAGAAAGTCTTGCCAGAAAAAATGCCAGAATACATGCCAGATAGAATGTCAGAATATATGTCAGATAGAATGTTTTGGTCAAAGGAAGTTTCGTAGAGAAACTCCGAGTTACGGATGGTTTCATTCTCACTAGCACAAAAATCATTGTGTCCAGTTGGCATGTGCCTTAAGAGATCATGAAGTCACAATTCTCACTAGCCCAAAGATCATTGACTTCAGTTGGCATGTGCCTTCAGAGATCATGAAGTCACATTCTCACTAGCCCAAAGATCATTGTGTTCAGTTGGCATGCGCCTTAAGAGATCATGAAGTCACATTCTCACTAGCACAGAGATCATTGTGTCCAGTTGGCATGTGCCTTAAGAGATTATGAAGTCACATTCTCACTGGCGCAAAAATCATCGCGTTACATTCTCACTGGCCCAAAGATCACTGTGTTCATGGGCATGTGCCTTAAGAGATCATGAAGTCACATTCTCACTAGCCTACAAATCATTGTGTTCAGTTGGCATGTGCCTTAAGAGATCATGAAGTCACATTCTCACTAGCCCAACATTGTGTATATTGTGTCCAGTTGGTCCCTGCGTGAAGTAGAGTTGAGGTATCGTAGAGAAGAGTAGAGTAGGGTAGGGTAGGGTAGAGTAAGGTCGAGTAGAGTAGAGAAGAGTAGAGTAGAGTCGAGAAGAGTAGAGCAAAGAAGAGTAGATTAGAGCAGAGTAGAGTGGAGCAGAATAGAGCAGAGTAGAAGTAAAGCAGAGTAGAAGTAAAGCAGAGCAGAGTAGAAGTAGAGGCAGAGGTGAAGAGAGCAGCGAAGTTGCGATTCTGATTAAGTTTTGGAAGTCAGCGTTAGCAGATTGCATTGGAACTGCTACATCAAGGATGCGATTTGAACGTTAGTAGGATTTGCACGAAACATTGTGTTTCTTCGGGTAAACGGAGTTGCGGAGAAAAGTTGGCTCGCTTGCGCGACGGGTGCGGGCGTCGCCGCTTTAGCGCGAAATCATGCCTGATCTCCGCGCGCACTGTAACTGAGGTCTCCAAGTAACTTTTTCTCTTCTTTGCTGATGCTGTGCTATTGTGCTGTGCAGCTGAGAATCGTGACTCCCATGTAGTGGCTGCATGAAGGTTGGGACTTGTGTTTGGGCAGCATAATTTTTCCATTCGGGCTTTGGCGCTGATGATTTTCAAAACAGTGTTTCAAAAAAAAATAAAATTCCTTCCAAAGGTGCTTCAAAATCTTCGTTTTTCCGCTTTGGCGTCGAGATCATCCGGTTTTGGAGCTGCAATTTGTGTAGCCTTTGTGCGTACTAGGTGTAAAAGCGTGCTCTGTGTAAAAGCTTCTGTGTGTGAAAAAAACTCTGTGTGAAGCATCTCTGTGAAAAGAGGTGAGAAGAGTTGAGAAGAGCTGGCAAGAGTTGAGAAGAGTTGACAAGAGGTGACAAGAGTTGAGATGAGCTGAGCAAGAGGTGAGATCGGTTGAGCGGAGGTGAGACGCGGTGGGAAGAGTTGAGAAGAGGTGGCACGAGGTGAGAAGAGTTGAGAAGAGGTGGGCAGAGGCGAGAGTCGTTGAGAAGAGTTGAGAAAAGCGGGGAAGAAGTGAAAAGAGTTGAGAGGTTGGAAGAGATGGAAAACTTTGAGAGCTGTTGAAAAGAGTTGTGAAAATTGAGACGAGCTGAGATGGTCTGAGAAGAGCTCAGAAGTGGTGGTCACAGCTGAAAAGGGGTGAGGCAAGATGAGGACGAATTCACAGAACAGAGTTGAGAAGGTGTGAGGCTTCACTCCAGTTCCTATAGGCAAACCTTGTCTGTGGATCCTATAGCCTCACAGTCCTGCACCTGGAAACTTCCGCCACCCGCCTTGCGGGGGTCTACTTGTAGGGACCACTCGAAGCAAGTCATTTTTGTTTTGCCTTTTGCGTGTCAAGATGCCGTACGTGCCAACCCCCCTTCAGGCACCCAAAAAAATACAGAGTATCACCGTTCGAGTATATAAAAAGAAGAAACACACATTGGACAAATGATGCAAACTTGACAATCCAACGCAAGATTTCGCAACGCATCTTGGACAAACCTTGCAGCACATTCAATCAAAAAGAACACAAAGGCTGAGAACATCCGAAAAAGCAGATTGGCAAGGATTCACAAACAAAGCGCAAACCATGGCCTCGTCCTCATGCTTTAGCAGTCCAGGAAAATCTTTCAGCCAAGATTCCTGAGCAGATTCAAGCAGGAGGTTCACGGAGTTTCAACATCCTATCCATTCCAGGCTGCGACCCTTTCGCCTTTACAAAAAAGTAGCGCTTTATCTTGCTTTGCTCCTCTACTTGTGTCAGCCCCACCAGACCAGAATCGCTGAGTCAGGAGGATGAGAAGTTTGGTGAAAATGCATACTATGTCAACTTGCCAGCACAGTCTTTCATTGTATAGCTGAAGAAGGATTTCCTCACTTCCCCAACGCCAAACCTGCGTCATTCCAAGATTCTGGCCAGAAAATTACATTACTATTAGGTGCCCCCAACCCCTGAAACTGACATATTTGCTGGTTTGTGCTTTAAAAATACTTTGAAGTTATCCTGACATATGTACTGATATGTCTACTGACATGTTCACCGGCTACTGACATGTTCACCGGCGTTGTTCTGGCATTTCATCTGCAATATATTATCTTGCTATTTGGCATTTATCTGCCAAGTACTTGGCCACAAATTTCTATACATTCTGTCATTCTATCTGGCCTACATTTGGACAGAAATATTTAGCATGTTTACAATATGTTCTGACAAGGTGTAAGACATGTAATCGTTAGATATACAAATTGTCACTAAGCATCTGGCATATGTTCTGGCAAACTACTTGCAATGCATTCTGGCACATCTGCTGACATTTTGAAAATATGCAATATTTTCTGGCCGTATCTGCGATATATTCTGACATGTTTTCGGACAAATACTCCGGCACTCCATCTGCAATTCTGACATGTAATTTGCGATATCTTCCGAATTCTTCCGACATCTTCCGACATACATTCAAAAAAATCACCTGAGAATATCAGAGGATATCAAACATGTATTCTGACACATTCTTACATTACACGACATTTATACGAGCCTGACTGATGAATTTGACGTTTGCAGGACCCAGAATTTTGATGAATTTTGGCCAGGTAGGACTGGGTCCTTTGAGCTCCGGCCACGACCCAAATCGGTCGCGGCTGCAAAGGAATTTAGCAACCTTCGCCCGTCAGATGGGAAACATTATCAAACATTCACCCAACTTCAAACCTCGAATGCCGAATTGGGAGCTTAAAGTCGCCTGGCCAGATCTCTCTCTGTCTCTGAAATTGCACAATTTGATTCAAGACAACATTCCAAAATTGAGCTGGGGCAGGGCGCAAGCCTAGCACAACAAAAGTGAACTGCCAAGGTTCCCCCGGGAGTGCGAATGTCCATCCACAATCTTGCGCCTAGCACGCTTTTGCAACTAAATCCGGCAGACTAACTTCTGGGGATATCAGTTGGCTGCGCTCCATACAGAAGAAAGCATGAATCCCAAAATGTCTAATTGCGTTCCTCATCTTCCAAAATGCTACAAGTAACAAGCAAGGAAAAGATGGAAAAGCATGGCTACATTGGATATACAGCATGATATCCTGGATGTACCGGAGGAAGTGGAACGACCAAGCAAAGAGCAGTTGCAACGTCCATGGCACGAAGGGCCAAAAAAAACTGCACCCAGCCTCCTTGGCCCAGTTTGTGGTACCCTTCCACACCTCAGAGAACAAGAACAAGAACAAATCCCTTGGGGCCTCTGAGATGTTGTGAGATGTTTGGATCTCCAGCGAAACATGTAGCATGTCGGATTTCTGCATGTTTTGAAGACAACACGCGCATCTGCTACAACATTATCAGTTGCAACTGTGCATATCCTGGAGTAGCAATTGAGCACCTGAAATAGAGGACATGAGAAGACTGCAAAATACTCTGCCAGGAATACTTGCATGTTTTGCATTGTCTTAAATTGCTTACATTGTCTTACCATATCAGTAGGAGTCAAGTACAACACGCTCACACGTTGCTGGCCTCTATCGGAGGGCCTGGCTGCTCCCCCTCGCTCCATCCGGGTGCTCGGTTGGTCCAGGACCATCTCCTTGGAACTGAGCAGAAAAAATTGTTTGAGCTGTTCCTTTGGTTGTTTCAGGTTGTTGGAGGTTGGTTGATGTTGTTTGATTGTTTTCATTTTGCTCAAGGTTTTAGTTCTAAGGTCATAAATGTCTCTGGCTTCTGACGGTGTTCACTCATGTCTCTGGCCGTTTGAGTTTTCACTATTCAGTGCAAGACCCCACGAGGTCAGATTTTCAGTTTCACCCGTTGTAGACCTTCGCAGTTCATCGCATTTATATGCAAGTATCATTTCTACAGCCGATTTTCTCGCAGAAACTTGAAATAATCAACACAGTTGTCAAGAGCGAGTGTCTTGCCATGCTGCCACCTTCGCACATTGGATCTTCGACTGCGGTTCGGTCGGTGCCCGAAACGAGCCATGACACTGGACACACCAGCTCTATGGCTGACGTTTGCAGGTGGTACCCGCATGTATCCGCGCAACCACCTAAAACCGGACCAGTTCCAGGGTCAGCTATTGTCACCAGTGATAGGAACTGCATGAGGTTTGGATTTTCCCAACAACCTTGTCATCCTCATCCTCGTAATTGATTCATGACGAATTTCAACAAAAAGTGTGCTTTGCCGACCCTGGTGGGGCCCCATCATGACCCAGCAAGCATGGTCATTTGAGCCCAAGCATCCTCCAACAGCACAGACTAATCCAAAAACCACTTTTCAGATTCTTTTTCCCTGCGTGTGAGAAATGCACGAGGTGTAGATGTAGCATGTAGCGGTTTATTTTGACCACATGCGTTTTTCGGCATGTCACTGTATCTTGCCTGTCACAAGCATCAACAGCAACAACAACAAAATCGACAAGAGCACCAGCATCAGCATCAGCATCATCACCATCTTCATCGTCGTCATCATCATCAACAACAGCAGCAGCATTAAGAGCAAGGGGAGCCAAAGCAAGGGGAGAGATTGAAAACAGCTCTTCAAACAAAACTGCAAATGTATTCCAAAAAGAACTGATAGAATCCACAAACCCGAATGCAATTGAAGTGGGGAGTTTGTGCAATGTGAAGTGTGAAGGGTGGAGTCGGGAGTGTAGAGTGTGGAGTGTGGAGTCTTTAATCCACACGTTTTGCAGCAATAGGCACAGCGGCGTTGCCATTAGAGACCCGCGCTACGCTTCACGCCTCAGTGCCACGAAGTCCCACGCCTGCCACGCAAAATGACATTTCACAGCTTTAAAACGTCACCTTTTGCAGCAATCGCGAGTGGCACGGCACGACCCGATTTAGAGACCTGCGGCACGCAACGAGGCGCAAACAAGACATCACCCCCAGACCCCCTACCAAGAAAACAAGAACCCGTCGCTTCACTTTGAATATCGAAGCTCTTCAGAGACTGTTGAACTATGTTGAACTCACCCTGATTCGAATTCGATTTCTTCGGCTATGTTTTCTTCCTTGATCTTTATTGATAAAGGATGATGAAGGCATCGGCATGTAAAGGGGCTTGAAAATGCTTGAAACTTCTATGACGTCTGTCAGCGCTTTTCCCATACCCCAGCAATCAGCAGGGCTGTTGGAGCGACCGAGGTGTTCAATGTCGATGATTTTTGATGTCGCTCACGTCGGGCTGCGATAGCTCCAGGTCACATGGGTCACATGGCGACCGTGCGGTACTTAACGCGTCTTCCAATTCGGCTTGTCGGCGATGCAACTGTCGAACATCCTGGGGCCGGGCAACATATGACATAGGCTTTGCCACGGACAATCCCAAGCGGCCTGTGCAAAAGAGATCAAAAGATCCAGTGAAGCAACGTAGGGTTTTTGAAAAGATGTGACTGATGTGACTCAAAATATGAAGACTGATTGAGAGTCACATCGAATACATTTCCACTCAGGTCTGAATCTTCGCAGCTACAATATAACAATTCTACGCTGTCGACACAATGGAAATCATTTCAAGCCACAAACTGATGGTCCTGAGTCCTAAGCATATCTAAGCGTTGGGCGCAGGTCACAACCCTCAGAGTCCAAAGGCCGAGGTAATCATATGTAATCATGCTATATCATGCTTACACATATTACATAATATTACACAATGTTACAAATATCCGTATATATTATATACATTTATATACATCTATTATGAATCCTCAAGTGCCAATGGGGACCAGCTACTTTGGCTTCAGGGCTTCGCCCTTCAGAGATCTCCATGAAGCCAAGCCACCAGTCATGCAAGTCGCTAAAGGACCTGCCCGCAGCACCAAGTGAAAATGTCATGGCACCATGGCATACCATGGCATATCATCGCATATCATGGCCAATCATGGCATATCATGGCATATCATGGCATACCATGGCCTCTTGTGCTTCTTGTGGTCAATTGGTTGAGCAATCCGATCGCACAGCTCGCAGTAGGCTCGATTATGGGCGCTGCCTGGCCACAAGCCGCTGCGGATAAGGATCTGAGAAATGACGACAGTGTGACGACAGTGTGACGACAGTGTCACAATCTGAGTCTGGCATTTAGCCTGGTGACCTTGCATTAGCACAAAGCCCGGAGAGAGCAGAAAGAAAAGTTGCAACCTTTCGTGACCACATGTGCTGATTGGTATAGTTGTAAAAGCAAAATGTCCGCATGCTCTTGGCACCTTGTGTCGAAACTTCCAGTTTATTGCGCCACTCATGAAAGCCTTAGCTGCAGGCCCTCGTTTTAACCCCATCGAGTCTTGTTTCAAGACTGCCATCAAAACTTGGGTTTCTGTAGAGATCCCATCCATTTCCATCCATATCATCCATGGGGTACCCTCTGTAATTTAACATAGCTATTGAAAATGACCATTTATAGTGGATTTTCCCATTGAAAATGGTGATTTTCCATAGCTATGTTAGTTTACCAGAGGGTAAACCTTGCAGCCATGGTAGCGACTGTAGCGTGCATCGTCTCCATCGATTTCTTGTAGCCCCTTAGCCAGGTCCTCCGCGGAAGCGAAATCATCGACCTCGGCCGGCCGACTCTAACCGTCCGTTACCAGGTACCCTCTATGGAAAATCACTATTTTTCATGGGTAAATCATGGTAAATCCACTATAAATGGCAATTTCCAATAGCTATGTTATGCTATGTTAGTTTACCAGAGGGTAACCTACCACCAGGGTTTTCCCACCGGACCATCACATGTCATCCACAGAATGACATGATAATGACATGCACTATGCATATAGAAACTCATAGAAACGTGCTGGCACTGTTGGGAATGGAATTGCGAGATGTGTGAGACAAGGTCAGAAGATGACCGTGTCCACACCAAGTTGTTACCATTGAGAGATAAGCTGGGCACCCTGGACAACACCTTGCTCAAGTTTGGGCCTTCGGGCATGATTCTATGTAAAGTAAGACGCCATATAGCTCAGAGATGCTCAGATTCATTTTGGGGAATGAAAATCATTCTGGTCTGATCTTCAAAGGGAAGTGGTCTGAGAAGTCAGGAGTCCTTTTCAAAGGTAAATTTTCTTCGTCCAAAGGAAGACATATCAAGATTCAAGATATAAATGCTGCTCCAGATTGCCACGTTTGCCATGAAAGCTCAAACCTTAAAACCTGTCATTTGGAGAAAGAGAACTTCACGCACGCTATCTTGTGATGCTATTCCACATTTCTATCGCACCTGGATATTTCGATTTATCTAGCGGTCTAAAAAGAAAAACATGTACAAAAAAAACGATATACCAACATACTGGAACTGTAATGACCTTTATCCAATGCAGTTGTTTGCAGGCTAAGATTCCAACAGCCAAGAGTTTTCCCAAACTCCTTCCATGTCTGCATGCATGGTAAATCGAGTGGGGTGGTGACTTGTATTGCCCCATCACTTTGCTTTGGCACCAGGTGGCATGAAGGAATGCTCCCTTGGGCGCTATACCTGGCACATCACCGTTGGAAAAAAAGTTCCAGCCACTTGTGCCAATTCTCAGGACTGTAAGGATCTGTAAGGTATTTAATTAGGGCCAGGGTCAGCTCCTATAATTTCTATACTGGAAAAATGCTGAATCAATTTGTAATTACTCGTTTATGCTCTTCCTCGCAGTCCTCGCATATGGCAGATGCGAAAAACGCACTGTTCTGGGCAATCGATCGGAAAATGTTTCCATTCCATGGGATTCCACGTGGCATTCCCCTAGCGGCATTTTTTTCCGGTCACGAAAAACCAGTCACGGGGCTTCATAAAAACCGCCGCTGCACCATCGCGCCAAGTCACGTTCATAGTCAGCCCGACCAACACCACCATAAGCAAGAGGCACCATCGAGGTCTGCAGGCCGCCTACGGTCAACATTCAGTGCCTTTTTCGAAAGCAAGTGATACCCTCCAAACATGGCAATGGGAAATCCCCTGAAAGTGAAAGTTTAATAAGAAAGTCATCTTTAAATTCATAAGGGTGATTTTCCATCGCCACTCTTGATGACCGGAGAGTAACAACAACAACAACAACAACAACAACAACAACAATTCCCATGAGCCTCTATCCGACTCTATCCCCTATCCAAACAATTACATATGTTTGACTCATGGGATTGCCATCCAAGTGAGGTACAGTATTGAAACATTTGAAACTCGGTCAGCAAAAACGCCTAGACTCTAGACTTTTAACCAGGGCTCACAAGAATGATAACCGGGCAGACTTAACAATTAATAGTTAAGAAGAAATATTCCACCTCGCGGGTTGCACTGGTATACATTGCTCAAAGATGTCCAAAGAGAAACCTGCTACCATCCGTTGGACACAAGCCCGTCGAGCAACGAAAAAATTTCTCGGTAATGTAGCCACGGCAACGGGAGCTCCTGAGTTCGTGAAAGCAAACATGCGCAGGGGATGAGAAATCATGAGAAATGATAAATGATGTCAAGGTGGATAGTCAAATATAGTTAATGAATGTTAATGATATCTGATGATAGGTGATGACAGTCGATGATAGTAGTAGATGATAGTCAATTAAACATACACAAACATACACAAACCATTCAACATATTTCAAAACATGATCCGTACACGGCAAATTGGCAAGACCCCAACATATCCCAGGGAGTTCCCAGGGTATTCCCAGGGTCTCAAAGGCCGCATAGAACTTGTACTGCTGAAAAAAAACCGCTTCGCCTTGGGTCCCGGCAGGTGAAGCCACCGGGTGGTCCCCCGTTCGCGAACGTGGCATGTGAAAAAAGCCATGTGTATTCATGTCCTCCCCACACATTGCAAAGCCTCCAGCCTCAGAAAACCGAATATCATATATATATATATACACATACGTATATATATATAATGGCTGTGGCATGCTGTGGCTCATTGTTCCACATTATTCCACATTGTTTCTAGCGTTACATGGCTGGGCTGATGCAAAATCCATGGCCTCATGCAATTCCAGGAGCAACATCCTTCGGATGTGCTTTATGAAGTGAACCCTCCATGACGGCACCGAGTCACAAGCTTTGTCATGGCGCTTGCCTCAAGGTGGCCACAGAACATGTTTGAAACAAGGTGCCAATTTAGAGACTAAGGGGGGCTGTCTTGTAGGCAAAAGTGGTCGGGAAGCGTGACCACACGTTGTCACCACACAGCAATGTACACATTGCCTATCCAGTACTTGAAGCTGGAGGTTGACTCTGTATCCCGGGGTAGTTTCCCTGGACAAAACCTACTGCATATGTGGTTTATCGCCGTGAGTGGTGGGTGAATTTCCAAGCCAAGAAACAACACGGCCGCCATTGACAATACAGAGAAGGGCCCCAACATGCCCCAACCATGTGCAAAGATGTGCAAAGCAATCCAGAGAATCAAGAGATACCAAGTCATTCCAAGATATCGTGTGGGCTTTTGGGATTCTTCAAATTACGGTAGTGACATGTAGTGACCAGGCTTGGTGCTTGCACTTGCTGGCGCTGAAGTCCTTCTGGCTCTAACTATCAGCCTAGCGACAAGGAAGTTTCTTCCCGCAGTTGCCATACAAATGAACCTTCAAGCGATGCTCAAAGCGATGGCTGAAGTGACCAGCACTGAATTTGGTCAGGAGACTGTGTCCTTCCCCAATATCTCCTGCAGCCTTTTGAAGAGCGACATGCCTCAACGAGGACATCCAGGGGCCAACTAAAACAAATAGCATCAAAAAGGACCACTGCACAATACTTTACAGCTGCCTCTGGAACATCTTGAAGCAAATGCAAATCGGATCAACTATACAACTTGGCGAAAGTATTCCAGCAGGTGCTTTTGAAACACCTCGTTATGCAAAGATTGACAGCCAGGACACGGCTCCTGCAAGCACAGTTACCTCACGCGGTCAGGACCAAAAATCCGTTGACAAGTCTGTCGCTTTCTTGTTGTGTTTCCAGAATTTTCCAGAAAATGCTTTCCCTCTCCACACTTGGGGGATCTTGGGGGCACACGATGTCATCGATGTCACAATGAACTCAGTCGGGCCTCTGCCCTGAACCAAGTGGCTCACAACCCAAATTAGTAAGTACCTCAGGGCAGCTTCAGAGAACCCCACGCTACCACACGGCTAGAAGATGCGAGAAGTCTGGATATCTGCCGTGTTGTTTCCACACAAATAATGACCAACCATGACCAACCATAATACTCAAAATCTGGAGGAAATGGTTTTACTCACTAGGCTTGAGGTTTGGATCAAGTGTAACGCACTTCCGACGAAAAAACTGCTTGATAAAATCAACATCATTCCTTGCAACATCCTTCTCAAAGAACAACCACAACCAGCTGACCGCAACCTGCATCAACCTACCTTTCAAAGCACCATCTGCCAAGGAACTTTTTGTTGGCCGCATCAGTGAAATTTGTCAACCCTTTCTGCAGTTTATCCTGGGTCAGCGGTATGAGATCGTAGAAGGGGCGAAAAATGTCCTCGGATGGCACTGGTTGATCTTAGCGAAACGGCTCACTGAATCGGCCAGAGAAGCGGTAGACCATGGTAGACCCTGCTCAGAAACTATGTTTCGGAACTGTGTTTCAACATGTTTCAACATGTTTCAACATGTTTCAACATGTTTCAACATGTTTCAACTATGCACAGGAAACTTTGCTTCGGAAATCGACCATGCTGGATCAGCCCTGGCGGAGGAACTCATCGACACTCTGCGGGAAATGTAGCACTAGCACCCACACCACTTGTTGTTTGGACCCCCTATGCTCGGCACACCGCAAAGCGCCCTCTCTTCCCGGAAACTTTTGCGGAATGTTAATCATTGTGTGGTAATGAGGGAGAAAGGAGGAAGAAAATTCGATAACTGAAAATGCTGATTATTTTATGGAATACGTCAATGACTTCGAATACGTCAATGACTTCGAATACGGGTCGTTGTCTTGTCAGGCACAACTATCTGCAAGCCACATGTGTTTTTTCAATAATGACTTCGAAAGCTCGTTATTGTTGCACGGCAGGAGGGGGAAAGAAGTTTAAACAATGGTTAAGAATGCTGACCACTGTATTGTACAGGACCAGTGGGAAGTGTAACATAGCCTTGGGGTGCTGACCATTGCCTTGTCGGAGGCAGCAGGGATAATTTCATCAATGAGTCAGCATGCGGACCAATGTCTTGTGAAGCGGGGCAGGGGAAATGCTAACAATTACTTAAAATGCTGACGGTGTATTCAAGGGCAAAGGATGGAGATTGCAACTGTCAGGCACTGTGGAGGGTGAAATTCAACATTAACTTGGGGCTCTTTTGTAAAGCTTTGACAATGATATACAAGCAGAGCAGGATTCTTGAGAAAGCCTGTAGAGAAAAAACATCTAGGTCTGAATCTTTCATAGTGATAGCGCTTTTGTTTCACATCTTTGGGCGCTGAAGGGAAACGATGTGTGGTTGCTAAGCCGTAGCGTCGAAACAATGTTTTCGCTGAGGTGTGGCTGCTGAAGAGAAACTACGGAAACTAGGTCTGGTCGCTGAGCCGCGGCTGACTCGCAGAAGCCATCACAAATGGCAGCACAGAATTACTCACCCATCACCAAAAAAAAACATCATATAGCACCCTCTAGCATCCTCACATATCCTCACAGACTCAGTCCCATAATGTCCCATATGATGAAGATTCATGGACTGGTATGGAAAATGGTGGAAGAAACAGCACTGGTACAGCCCAACGCGGAAACGACTGGCTCAATGCTCAGAGCCAGGCATCTGACTTGGATTGGAAAGTCATGGTGAGGTCGGTCCTGGAAGACATCGCTTTTGTGTTTTTTCTGGCCTCGCAAACTGAGACTCCCTGGAGACTGCAAGAACACCCAAATTACCAAAGAATACTCTGTTCACATGCTCAAACTTACTTCAAAGTTACTTCTAACATCTTCTCTAATCGTGAACTTCAATTTGAAAATGATTTTTCGAGGTGTTGCGCCAGGCTTCTAGCATGGATTATGCTACACTCGTCCAGTGGATCCAAAGTGGGGCCCAGAAATGTCTCATCCAAGCAGCGAAGCCATGTGACTTGGGCGATTCGAAGTGAAAACTGTATACCTCGTGGCCAGAGGCGTTGATTCTTCTGATCGCGGTGCGAAATATTTGATCGTGTGATGTGTATGACAGTGTATGATATGAATATATCTATATATATATATGAAATATCATATACTGTCATACAGTTATCATATTGTCATATACTGTATAACATACGTTTAATTCACTGTATTTATATGAAAAAGCGGGAGATGATAGTCCTCTACAACGAAATCACGAAGGACGGACTGCCACAAATAGCTCGAAAGCACCGAATGGTTTGCATCGTCAGGAAGCCCCAGTTTAACAAAGGTTAACTTGCTGTGCGCCTGTGACATGAAATTGAATAGATATTCAGGATATTCAATAAACATATCTGTATAGTACAGTGTGTATATAATATATATAGTGCGATAGTATGCATATATATATACTCATACGATCTCATACGTAGGCATTTAAAGTTACATTAGCGTGCATACACAAAGATATATGTGTGAGTGCAAAGATTACATGTGATCATTTTTTTCGGATGTAGTGTATGTATTTGCATGCATGTACACATGGTGCATGTGTCAAGATAGAAAGAAGAAATACCTGGGGCACAGCTTGTAGATGACCGTTGGTGGCTGTTCATGGCCATTTGGCTGTTACACATTTCCTGAATACCGTAAAGACCTCTAAGTTTTGCGTTTGTTTGGTGGAGAAATCATTCTTTAACAATCTTTAACAACTGCAGGAAATCTGCAGCCGACTCTACTTTCTTTGATCTCCAAGCACACTGAAACAGGTGATTCCAGGGTTCAATTTCGAGTGGCCAGAATATTCTGAAGTTGGGGAAGCCTTGAAAGCGGGAAGCCACTCTTTCAATGAGTTTGAAGTGATATTATATTGACGATATCGGATCATTTGCTTGCTGTGGTTGGGCAAGAACAAACGACTTGGGAAGATTCTCAAAACTTTGGTTAACGTCTTCAGCTGGCGCGGGACATGTTCAGGTTTCTGACATTGGATTTGCGCAGCATCAACTGAACATCTTTGAACCAGCCTACCTTGGTATGATATGCTCTGCCAGCTGTGGCGCACTATCAAGCGCGTGCGCAACATTTTTGCCCCAGCCACTCCATCTGCAGCAAGTGCGCTTGCAAGTTCAAATACAGATTGTTGCCCTAGCCTACCCGGCCTACCTCTGTAGAGTAGCATCAAGTCTGTGTGCAAGTTGGTGTGTGTGTGTGTGCGCGACTTCTTTGAGACGTAGTGAGAACTATGTGCCATGGACGCCCTGGTTTCAAAAAAAACACCTCCTCAAGACAAAATAATTTGAAAGTGGAATGCCAAATTTGTGGTCTTATCATATCTCGGCCCAAGCTTTTGAAACCTGAACCGTTATAGTACATTTTTTCACAACAACCAACATCTAAACCACAAACGGATGCATACTTTCCATGCTCTTCCCACATTGCAATGAACGACAGAAGGGACAAAACATCTTTCGCTCGCGGGAATAGCCAAGCCACCCAAACTTGCCCGGCCTGTCATGATTGTCATGGGCGGTCAAACCATGTCGAAACCCGACTTAGTTTACAAATGTCCAAGGTTGTCGAGCCGTTTTCCTCAATGTAGTGGTGGAACAGCCTTCAAAAGCAACGACAGTGTCTTTTTTTCAAAATCCCGGATACTCAAAAGATACAAAAGTACAGTAAATGACGCCAATGAAAAGGGCAAAGTGTATCCAAGATATTTCAAGATCAGTTTCATTTTGCAAAAGCTCAAGTCATGTCGGGTCGGCCGGTTTGATGGAGGGTGGCACCAAGTAGGGTGCCATCCACACCGGGTTCAAGACCATGGCTTTTGCCTTCTGGGCTAAGTTCTTGTCGATGGTAAGAATGCATCGACCTCCATTTTCCCGGTGACTTTTCGGGGGTTTTGGAAGAGTGGTTTTTAGCCAACTTGTTTAGGGAATTATGATGAATTATGGGGTGATTGAATGGTGATTGTAGAATAATTCTTTAGAACATATAGTGATGATAATTTCATGATAGGTCAAGCACGTATAACAGTTAACCATCCCCCAATGGGGTCCATGATGGTCTATGCTGAGAAACCGTCTTATGATCTTATATAAGACTATTTGGGATGATGTCAGTCATATATGTCAGTCGTGACACCATGGAAAAATCCATTTGATATTCCAAAATGGTGTCTGGGATGGTAAAAATTATTCGCTTCACCACAGCTTGAAAAACCTTGACCCATCCTATCCATCCCACGGCAACCTCGGCACCTGCTTTGGCCAACCATTCTGTTAAGGTTAATTCATTTCATTCATGGTGAAATAGTGAAATCTGTAAATAAATGTAAACAAATTGAATAAATGTAAATATAATTTTAAATAATTATGTGCAATTCATCCATACTGCCCCAACTGATACCAAGTCCATACTTTTGCCACATTCCTGACCCCATTCCATGTCCAACTTCGTGCCCAGGCACTGTGAGGACAAGTCAAGCGTTTTTCGCGCCCCTTCAATCGTTTGAGGTTACGGCCATCCTCTTTTGACCGGCATGGACATGCAGTGGGGAAAGTGGAAATGTGGATTACAAATGATTAAAATGGAATCAAGCGATCACTCTTGTATACTCTTGTGGAATCCGGTTCGAATGGTTTCTTTTTAGGTTTGTGGATATCCAGACTCAACATGGCTGAGTTATGAAATAGTTTACCCTCTGGTAAACTAACATAGCTATTGAAAATGGCCATTTATAGTGAGTTTTCCCATTAAAAATGGTGGATCTTTCCATAGTTATTTTGACATAACCAGAGGGTACGCTGGCTTCAGCTTCACCCGACAGCCGCTCCTCGACGCAATTCACGAAAATCAGATGCCATGGCATCCTGGAGCCCCAAGTTTTCCGACACCAAGATGGACCACGATTTCTGCACGACTTTGCCGGTCATTCTATCAATAAATTATATAGTTAATTATAATTAATTATAGTTAATGTATATATATATATATATCCAACCCTTTGCAGGATGAGACTGAAATTGGTCGCTATGCAGCACTGTCCACTGGCGGTCCACGTGGCGTCTTCCATGCGTTGCGGCCGCGGTTGAATGCCATCCAGGTGTGCTTCGGCCACGGCCGCTGGGAGACCTGGTGCAGTCATTGTTCCAAAGATGTACGGCTTTCGCAATTTCCCCTTAACTCCCCCCCAAAAAAAGGAGCGCTCAAGTCAAGAAATCAATCATGGTCTGGATGCCATGTGAAGATCCAAAATGGAGAGCCGCTAGCCGCTAGCCGCTAACCGCCCACGATCCCCCCATGATGCTGTTATCATTTGTTATCATGGGTTGAGCCTTCTGTGCTTTCATTTTGATCGATGCTCGTGTCCATGGAGTCTGCGGCCATGAGGACTGCATCGGGGCCTAGCGCAACAGCATTGAGAGGATGGAGATGGAGATGACATGGAGATGGATATGGAGAATCTGGATGAATCTGGATGAATCTGGCAATGTTCGACGATGTTAGACAGCTGGGTGGTCAGGCAGGGCTCCGTCAGAGCAAAGGGAAACTTGTGACAGTTGCATGTCTTGTGCGTCTGTCTGTCCAGCCGTGCGCCCGCGGCCTGTGGGCAATTCCAAAGTGTGCACAAAGAAATAACGCGAAAATATACTCTACAATTAAAAAGGAAGGGGCTGGCTGGGCCAAAATGCGTTTTCGATAGCTCAAAACCCAATTCATTCTGGACAGCAACTAACCAATTTTGAACGCTCTCCGTGAACTACAGCGCTAAAAGAGAAGTCTCCGGATGTCTCCGGTATCCACTCTTTACAGGGCCGACCCATGCTATCCTATTCTCCTGAAAAACCGAGATGCAGCAGCAGATGTACCAGGCGCAAAAGAGACTTGTCGAAGTGGGTGGTTTGGGTTACAGCGCAAAATCTTCCCTGGATATACCCTCTGGTTATTTAACATAGCCATGGAAAATCACCATTTTTACTAGGTAAACCATCTATAAATGGGCCATTTTCCATGGCTATGTTAAATAACCAAACGGTAGTAAATGCTTACATTCAAGAAGCTTGGACGCTGAGATGTGACCACTCCTTTGCAGCACTTCTGCGTTCGATAGTCCAGACAAAAAAAAAAAACGCTGCCGGCATTTCCGATTTTAGGCGGCTGTGTACTCATGAATGTTTCCACACCATTCCAGACCTTTTGGGGCGCTGCAAAATCAGTTTTAGCAATACCAATGCGAATACCAATGCGTCTAGATAACTCATTCCCATCTCCGGTTACTGAGGATCGCAGCATCCACCCAGAAGCTGAAACTTAAACCAATGAACACCTTACTTGCGACCAGCCGCTACTACCTGCATATACTCCGTCAAATGTAAATTGGATTAAATTGGAAACTGCGATTAACACTGTATCAGCTGCATAAACAATGTCCGCCAGATCCCATTGTTCAAAGGCCTGCCTAGCATTTCCTTGCAGCATGTTGAGGGCATCGTGCATCAAGATAGACATAAGAATCACAAAAATAGGGGCACTTGCGATGCCACCATGGAAAATTCCCGAGTTGTGGTTGTGCAATGGAGAGGTTTCACCACTGTTTGTAACAAAAAGCGTTTGTCTCGCATAAGCGCGCCCATTCTCTCAACAAAACCTTGTGGCCAACCAAAGCGCCATAGGCCATCGAGCTTACAAAATGCTTCCTCCAGTAAGCCAACAGATCTAATAATTTGAACTGTCAGCGACCTGCTTTCAACAATTTCCAGTTGCCGGCAACGAATATGGCATATGGCATAGGTGCCGTAACATTGTCCGACTCAAGACTGTGCTGTGCTCTCCAGCGCTTGCAAAAGCCCGCCTTCAATGAGACGGTTTCTACGCATCGCCCAAAATGGATCAAAATGGCATGTTCTCTAAATTCTCTCCCGGATTCGGACGCAAATCACCTTCACTGGTCACTACGAATTTACAGGACCCCGCGTTTCAAGTTCGTTTCAACAGACATCAAACAGTGAAGAAAGTTCTACAGTAAATATAGTAAATGATCCATTTGGATCAAAATCTTGCGGAACTTCGCCAGCGTGCGGCTTTAGCTGGAGCTGTTGGAGCTGTTGGAGCTGTTGGAACTGGAGTCACTGTGCCCTGCAGGTGTCCTTTGAAAGTTCTTTGATCTGCAGACTCCATGGCCATCCATGGCCCATATCCCAGCTGCCAGCTGTCAGGCTACCATTTTTGATGCAAACAGTGCTCTTAGGTTTTCAAGTTCAGCGAGCTGACCAGCGGGCAGCAACCACGTATTCTTGGGGGATTTATCTAGCGCGGATCTACCGCCAGAACTATGTTTAGCCTAGCCGTGAAAACTTGAAAAGCAGTTGTTGTCACATATCTTCACAAGTCACGTTTGCGATACTGGCCAAAAAGAAGTGGCCAAGCAGTTTTTTCAGAGATTTACGAAAAGTAAGGCTACTGCGGAGTTGCCCAAGCAGGGCCGGGAACATCGGTCGCAAGAGAGCAAGAGGCAGAGAAAGCATCGGGCCTGACAATGTTGATGGGCCTGATGGGCCTAATATCAAAGCCATTGAGGCTGTGAGCCAGGCTGAAAAAGGACTGTTTTGTGTTCCGCATCGGTTGCAGAAATCCAACACCCAAAGCATCTCATGAGAACCTGAAACCATCTGAAACCCAAAAGGCTTTGATACTTCACCTGGGATGTTCCCTTGTCTGGTTGCTTTGTTTGGGGTGCGCATGCGCCTTGCAGCTGCTCTAGTTCCATGGTAGTGTCTTATCTGGGCAGTTCTCTGCGCCGGCTCCAAGATCTGGGATCAAGTTCTCCAAGCAATTAGCGATGTCTCTACAGCAGCTTGGACCGAAGATGCCTCTCTTCTGCCCAGCTACCATTTTCCCTAGCAGAACTTTTGCTGGAAATCAACAGTAATCAACCTCAGAGTTCCTAAGCTAATCCACGGCCCTTTTGCAACAGAAGCCTAGTGAAGATCCAAAATGGAGAGCCGCTAGCCGCTAGCCGCTAACCGCCCATGATCCCCCCATGATGCTGTTATCATATGTTATCATCTGTTATCATCTGTTATCATGGGTTGAGCCTTCTGTGCTTTCATTTTGATCGATGCTCGTGTCCATGGGGTCCGCGGCCATGAGGACTGCATCGGGGCCTAGCGCAACAGCATTGAGAGGATGGAGATGGAGATGACATGGAGATGGATATGGAGAATCTGGATGAATCTGGATAAATCTGGCAATGTTCGACGATGTTAGACAGCTGGGTGGCAGGGCTCCGTCAGAGCAAAGGGAAACTTGTGACAGTTGCATGTCTTGAAGACCTTCTGGATTCCCCGTTCACTGCTGTATTTCCAGGGTTATGTGCTTGTTATTCTTTTTTTTGGGGGGGTGGGAACCTGCTAAATTCCTCTTCGTCTTATAAGGGTCTCGCAATGTCAGGTGGGAGAGCCAAAACATGTCAAAATATCGGGCGTGGTTGCAAAGGCCATCATCTGAAGAATCATGCATCAATCCCAGGTAGTGCAACTACCTTGTCGGGACATGAAACCCTCTACTCTCTGATTTTCTTGGTTTTATATGTTTTTGTTTTTTTCTTGGCTTCCTTTCCAGGGGAAAAACACCTGAGATTCGTTACTTTCAGTGGTGGCGTTAACTCATTCATGCTGAAATGGAGGCCGCACATCTCCCGAAAACATCGAAGCAGCAGTCCGGTTTTGCAACCACATTTGTCACAGCAGCATGTGTGCCGCCTGTTCTGGTGTGCACGGATGAGGATAAAACTTTCAGGAAACTTCGCTTCTCCTGTGGCAAAAAAAGGGTCGGACATCCGATCAAGCAACATATCAAATATATCAAAATGCCTACAATCACATCACTCACCTCTGGTCGCTTCCGCACATTCAACCGCGAAAAATGATGCTTAAGAACCCCTGCAAAATTGTGAAAGCTACGGACTCATAGAAACACTGTGAAAGGCCAATGGCTGACAACAAAATATGATTCAACATGATTCAAGATTCAACCATTCAACGACTGTGCCCTGAAACGATTCAGCATGATTCGTCATAATTCAACTTGAAATTCATCCGATTGTATCCCGAATAGTTCGCACTCCTCTGTGCCATAGTTTGCGAACAGAAAGCCAATGCAGGTCCCGACCAAGGCTATCAGCAAGCGACACCAGCGCCTTGCTATGTGAGAATGATTTGAATGTATCATTACAGTATGCTTGAGTTCCAGGACTTTGGCCATTCAGACCAGTGAAGTTAACGGCAGGACACTATATATATATACATACATATTAACACACACACACATATATATATATATATAGTTATTTATTTATATATATATATACATATTAAATCATATTAACACACATATATATATATATATCATATATTGATTAAACTGTCCGGTCCATATTTTGAAATACATTGAAATAGCTGATGATTCATGCCGATTTCATCTCAGTGGAACTGGAGAAAGCCTCCATGGCCCCACCTGCCACAGAACGCGCTTGGCATTTCTCATGGCACCCGTGGCACAGCACCACAGCACCGCGTGGGAATCCAATGGACCCAGTGGAGAGTCAATTTTCGGCATGTGAAGATGGCATGATGTGAGGGGTAGTGCCGGGGTAGTGCCGGTAGTATCTCCAAAGTTTGGAGATGGTGAATTGAGATCATCCCAGATTGGCAATCTTTGGACTGAGAGATTTGAGGATTTTGTCAGTTGATGACGCAATCGCCATGCCATGGTGAAACCATGTGTTCAGGTCCCAGGTTTTAAAGGCCCATGACGTCTGGATTTGGGGTACAGAGTGATGGTTCAAAGTTGGATCTGCTGCTTGAGCCATTGGCAATCATTCAAGTACGCGTAGCATGCCAAACTGGCATCAAAAATCCCCAGTTTCTTGTGGTGAAATGGGATTCAAACAATCCCCACAAAGCCGATAAACATCGGTTTCCACGATGACGCTGTGTTTCAATGAGCGCTATCTTTCGTCTCCAGTCAATAGTTGTCATTGGGAGCGGTGGATAAATGATGATAAATGATAATCATTAATGAATTATTTCGGCAGAATGCTTCACCTTGTAGGCGAGCCATGCCCAGCCTGCGGTGGAAGTTCTGAAAACCACGCATGCGCTGCTGGAGGATAAGGCACGATCCCAAGATCCGGCACGGCAGAAACTCCTTTTGAACCTTGAGTTGTTGATATTAATGGGATATTAATGGGATATCAATGGGATCTCAATGGCAGTTGTCTCATTTTGGCACATGTCAAAATTGTCAAATGATGTCAAATGCAGTGGTGCTTGAGCCATGGAAAGCTATGTCGACTGACCAGCGTGATTATCATGATTATCATGATTGATGAGCGCGAAGAATGAATCATGCAGCTCTGCTGGTGTCAACTACTATGTTCCTTCTATCTTCTTATAAGCCAGTTTAGATCCCTGAGTGGCACTGCCAGACATAGCCTGCTTGAGAGCAGTTTCAATATCAAACAGAATGCCCTATCAATCGGTCACGTCATTTTGTGCCGCCTGGAGATCGGGGCGGGGCCTGTACACTTGAGCCAGGTTTGGACTTGTGCCCAATCCGCAGAGCCACCACTTACTGTCCTTGTCAGCCCACTGATTCATCATGATTCATCTGGGTGATCACATCAGCCACCAAGATTCACCAAGATTCACCAAGTGCAGCTGAGGCACCATAAGTCGCGGCTTTGGCATCAGATAAATCGCGGTAAACCTGAGGTTTTTCGGCAGGAGAGATGCAGACATACATGGCATCCATTGGCATCCCACAGACAGCATGGACAACCGATGACAACCAATGGACAACCCGATGTTCACTGGGAGCAATGGCCAGGTGATGCCAGGTGACCGTCAATTTGCCATCTGCTACTGACCAGAACTGCGTTGCAACTTGGGAGAGGAAATATTGGTCATGGCTCACCTTGGCATCTCGAGCAGCAGACATGGGCCCTTGATGGCCCTTGATGGCCCTTGGCCCTTACATGTCCTTGCCCTTGCCATATCTTGCTATGACATATCGCTTGCGGCACGTGGAAAACACAGAAACACCCCTTGCAAATGCCACTGGGAGTCCATGACAACAGCTCCTTGGAATTCCTTGATTGCTTCCACCAAGGCATCGATGGTTTCCATGTCAAGGTGGTTTGTCGGCTCATCCAAATAAATTAGGTGAGGCCTCCGCATCGTGCAAAGATGTGCAAACACTAAAGTGTTGCAACACGAAACTGTCGAAACATGTTTTAAAATGTTTTAACAGATTTTAACACGTCAAAGTGTGCCACCAAAGAACTGACGATAGGTCACAATGGCCAGTGCCACTCTGCTTTTCTGCCCCCCGGACAGCGTCTTGATTCGACGCAGGGCCATGTCACCTCCAGGCGTTGTTGGGCGTTTTTCGGCGTTTTTCGGCGTCCCAGGAGGCAGGTCAAGTTGAAAATAGCACAGCATGGCACAGCATGGCACAGCATAGCGCAGCATAGCGCGGCTCTAAGATACAGGCCACTGATGCCAAAACGGCCCAGGATATTTCTAGCCTGGAAACACGGCTACACATTGTGACATAATCAAGAAGTCAGATGAAACCAGAAGCCCACAAGTTCCTCAGATCATCAGATTTTCTTTTCATATCCATTAGATTCATGATTCATGTTTGATTCATTTAAATTCCGTTTATACGTCGTTAGACGTCGTTATACGTCGTGACATCTCCGTATGATCCATGGTCTTTTCATGTCACACCTCCTGGTCGCTGATGCCAGGGAAACTGGCTTGGACGCAATCCACACAGGTGGCGTCCAAGTCCAAAGATTCCACATGGTGCTGGGCAAAGGTGCCTCGGTTTCTGAATGTCGGGGCGGGGCGAAAGGTGAAAGATGTGGATCTGGGGATCGTCTGCGGGATCTTGGAACATCTTGGAACCCACTAAAAAAAATTTTGAAATGCTTCGAAACACATGGAGGAGATCATTAAAGTGCATTAAAGACCCTCAAAATTGGCTGGGATAAGCAAGCAAATTCGCAAAGAAAAAGCACGCAAAGCACGGTCGCAAAGCACACAAGCAGAAGAAACCAAAGCTCGACTTCACCTCTCTGGTGGCGTTTCCCATCTTTTCCCCCATCTCCCAGCCTATTCTGGCATTTCGATTCACCTCGATCTGCCCTGCAGTTGGAACCAGCTTCTTCTGCATGACCTTGAGCAAGGTACTCTTTCCAGCCTAAGCACAGTCATCGATATCCACCCCAACTGGATCCAACTAGATCCAGTTAAGCTATGTTAAGCTGGTCTTTAGATGTCGTTTGGTCTTTAAATGTCAACCATCCAAATCATCCAAGGATCTCCATTGGCACCTAAAATGCCAATGCGTCCCTTGATGTCCAAATTGGCCGTAGCCTTCTCAAAGAGTGGATTTTTCCCTGGATAGGCGAAGGCGATGCTGTCAAACTGGATCAGTTCATTCTTTGGAAGCTGCCCAGGGTCAGGGAAGCGGATCGACAGCGAAGCAGCGTCGTTGAAAGTGATGGCAGGATCCTCTATCTTCTCCATCTTGTCCAACATCTTTTGTTTGCTGGCCTGATTCTTCTCTATAAATATATATATATATATCTAATTATGTATGTAATGTAATGTAATGTAATGTAATGTAATGTAATGTAATGTAATGTAATGTAATGTAATGTAATGTATGTGTGTGCATATGCGTATATGTATATTGACGTATGTACATGTGTGTGCATGCGTATAAACCGCATACAATGTGTCTGCATGCATGCATGCACGTATGTGTGTGTATGCACGACGGTATGTTTGCATGTGTGCATGTTGTTATGCACGTATGACCGTATGTGCGTATGTAGGCAAGCATGCCTGTATGTATGTATGTATGCGTGCATGCACGCACGCATGCATGCATGAATGGATGGATGTATGGATGTATGATGATGTATGGATGTATGGATGTGTGCATGCATTGGTGTATTCATGCAAGTATGGATTTATGTGTGCAAGTACGGATGTATGGATGTATGGATGTATGGATGTATGGATGTTAGATGTATGGATGTTAGATGTATGGACGGATGGACGGATGGGTGGATGGGTGGATGGATGGACGGATGGACGGATGGACGGATGCAGTTCAGTATGTATGCATTTAGTATTTAATTATGCAATTTATGTAGTATTTGTGTATTTCTTCATGCGCTGCTGAAACCGATGACCAGAGAAACTGACAGCCGAGCTACAGCTACTTAGTTCACTCCGCGGACCTCAAAAGTGAAAGAAAGATAAAGTCTGACCAAGATTGCAGATGTTCTACCATGATGGAAAAATGATGAAAGTGATGCATGTCCACCATGTCCACCAGCAAATTCAGCTTTCACAGACATGGCGAGCTCGGCCTTCTGGGCCACGATCTTTGGACGCTCATCATGTTTGTTGATGAATTCCAGGACGTGTGCGATCTCTTTTTGCTGCGCATCGTAGGCGCGTTGCTGAGCAAGTCGGGTTTCTTTCACTGTGTTCACATAGGTCTCGTAATCACCCTCGACAAAAAGCAGCAAAAAGATTCACAGAATTGATACGACAAACGGATACAAAATGCTACAGGCTCATCCGCTATCGTGCACTTTAAATACGTTTAATCTTTCAAATGTTGAACGCAAAGTGCGCAGACGTCAAAGTCCGACTTCAGGGTCAATTGGAGTAACAATGGGTTCCGAAATGTTCCGAAGCGGCCTTGTAATAGGTCAACTTCCTGCCATTCAGCAGAATGATGTCCGTGCAAACTGTGTTCAAGAAGCCGCGGTCATGGGAGACAATGAGGCAAGTGTTTTTGAATGACTGCAAGTAATCCTGCAGGTAGATAACCTTAGTGAAGCCCCATCTTAGAATCGTCATTTGTCGCAGGTTGAGCCACAGATTTCCCAATCCCCAGGCATCCCAGGCATCCCAGGCATCCCAGGCATCCCAGGCATCCCAGGCATCCCAGGCATCCCAGGCCCCAGATCCCCGCCCAGTTACAGCTGGGAAGTCCAAGTGATTCGTGGGTTCATCCAGCAGTAGCAGCTCTGGCTGTGCAAAGAGCGCCGAGGCCAATGAGAAGCGCATGCGCCAACCTCCTGACAAGGACGAGGTAGGCGTATTCAGCAACTCCTCAGTAAACTGAAGACCTGGACGGCACAAAGGGACGGCACAAAGAGACGGCAGTTTGTTGAGGTTGCATCAGAAACTAAACAATTGCATCAAGACACATGTTTGTCAATGAATGACACCACGTCGTAAACACTAGATCTTTCTCTATGCATAGTTGCATTGAATAATCATTACACGTGCCATCTACAACTATGCAGCCACACGACTTACAATGCTTATATGAATTCATCACATGCCAGCTGCGTTCTCCTTTTGATTTCCTTTAAAGTTCCTTTAAATCCATCGAAAATCATCCAGAGTTCCAAGTTGAGTCATGACAAGTGTTTCGCCTCGCAGGATCTTCGTGGCCCTGGGCTCCGCGTCATCTGATCCGATCTCTTGAAGTCGGTCTGCGATCTGCTTCAGACGCTCCGAGTCGGCGGCATCCTGGGGTACCATCTGGTACCATCTGGTACCATCTCAGTCGGCTTCAGGGATCTTTCATGAAACAGAATGAAAATTCATGCAACAATAAGAATTTCATTAAGAACGCAAGCGGTTCTCATTTGGAAAGTCCCGTCACTTGCCTATAGTCCAACTCTGTTGTTCGGCATCTTTCGGCACTGGGTCCTTGGAATCAGCTTTGCTCTGGAGGTTCTTCTGTTCTTCAAGCAGCAGGCGACGCTCCACATCACTGTAGAGCACCCAGTCTACCGGCTTGCGATCGTCTCCGATCACCTCCTGCTCCACCATCAGAACTTTCAGATTCTTTGGAAACTTCTCGAATTTGTAGTACGCAATCTCCCGCAGCAAAGTACTCTTGCCGGCACCGTTCCTGCCAATCAATCCATACCTCCGGCCCTGATTCAGGGTGAGATCTGTTCCCAACAGTAGCTCCGAACCATCAAGCGACCTGAGATCAATGCTAGTGAGTTTGATATCTGCTTTTGGCGCTCCCAACTTCTTCCTGGCATCCAAGTAGACTTGCAATGCTGTCTCCGCTTCCGATGGCCCGGCTGTAGCCTTCTCCTCCTTTACCCGAGCAGCTTCCATCTTCTGCTTGGCTTTCTCTGCCTTGGCTGCCGCATTCTTCGCTGCCAAACTCTTCAGCGCACCATCTTTGCCTCAAGAAAAAAACAGCAGAGTCACCAATTCCAGCCACTGAACAGCCAAACCATCCGGAGAATGTGAGAACCATGATGAACGTGGTGACCCCCACAATCCATTACAACCCAACGTGGTCCAACGGTCAAACCATCTAACAGAACCGTCTAAACAACTGCCTAGCCTAAAGTGGCATCCGCAACTGGCAGCTACCAGGCACGCCTTCAATGCTGACTCGGCCGTCTTCAACGTTCCAAATCTCATCACAGGTCTCCTTGAGGAAATCCTGGTTGTGAGTTACAACGATAGTGCCACCCTTAAACAGTTTGATCGCCTTCGCGAGTGCATTCACCGTCCTCGGCATGCGAACCAAGACACGAAGGACACAATATTTCTCTGAACAGGCACTCGAGATCTGCTGCCAGAAGGCTGAAAATCTAGATAGTTGGTCGGCTCATCAAACGCAATCACATGAGGTTTGGTCCACATGGCGGCTGCCATCATCAGTTTACCTTGATTGGTCGGCAAACTGTTTTGTGCCACTGAACTAGTTGAGGGTCGCTGAACATGATTGAAACCAGCCAAAGCACTCAGCAGTCTAGAGATGCAAAAGACTCGGTTCAAAGAACTTCTCATTATATGCGCTTGTTGATGTTTGTTGCATCTGCGCGACTCTTCTGCCCAGCGGAGAAAGTTTCGATCATCCGATGACACGTCATGTGCTCTGAAATGCCAAATGGCTCCTGCGAAGCTTGACATGTTCAGCGCCACAATCCATCCAGCTCCACCCATGTCTAAGCATCATATGCACACAAATGTCCACGTAACAAACACGTGCGCCGGCACACATACATACATAACATAACATAATATAACATAACATAACATAATAACATATATAACCTAGCATTAATTACATTGCATAACATAAGAAAACATAACATAACATAATATAACCTAACATAACATACATATCATACATATATACATATATATATATGTATGTATATATATACATTTATACATATGTATATATATATGTGTGTGTGTATATATTATACATATATAGTAATTAGTTATGTTGATCATGCCTAGTATTGGTACTACAGCTGTTGCGATTATCATCAAATATTATCACCATTTATTACCTGTTACTACTATTATCACATGATTCTATTGGTATCTATCTATCATCCATTTATTATTTGTTTACGTATATTGGACTATATGATACTATATGCATAATATTGTATGTAATTATGTATATGTGCGCAGTATGAATGCAGGGCATGCCGAGGTAAGGCGATGGAATGCGATGTAGTGTATGTACGTATGGATGTGTTCATGTTTCATGCAATGTACATATACTGATTACAGTATATACTGTAGTTATCAGGAGTTTATTATTAATTACACATACATCTCAACTCTCCACCCCTCGCATGCCATGCCATGATCCCATGTGATTTCCACATGTTTCAATGATGAAATTGACGGATCTTCGTTGTGCACTGTATGATGATTGTATGATGGCTCATGATGCACGCTATGAGGGCAAACATGGCAAAAGATGCTAAAGATGCCAAAAATGCCTATGTTATCCTATGTTATATAGTATGATGACATGTATGAACATCATCCAATAACATCCAATCACTAAGTCACCATAAGCCACCCCATGTCCCAGGCTCCAGATGCTTCACGATTTCCCTGGTGCTCAGGGGTCGCAAGGCGGTGTCAGCACAGGCAATGCGGTCATCCAATGCCGCACCTTCGCATCCGAGAAACTCACAGCAAATTTGATGAACTTTTCAGAAATTTGAGATAACTTGAGATAAGTTCGTCATAGTTCGTCCAATTTAATTCATCCTCTATCCGAGTCTCTCTGGGTTCATGATGCATCTGCATGATTCTGCATCTATTCTGCACATCGTCATTTCTTTCCTTCTTCATCCTTTTTCGCTCATAGAATGGACTGAAAGATTTTCTCGGGGTGAGCAATGGAGCTAATGCAAGTTGAAGGCCACTGGGTGGATGACACATCTTTTCCACTCCCAAGAGCCGCAGTTTTGTCATAGGCTCGTAGGTGTTCCTTGGGGTTTTGAGGGGCTTGGAATCTCGAACAGTTGGGGCCTGGACGCCTAGACATCAAGATACAAGGTATCCCAAGGTCCAGGATCCAAACTTCGCCTGGAATTGAGGAAAATTGAGGAGACATCATACTGCTTGGTGTCACAGCTGAGATCTGCCAAGCATCTGCTTTGGATCATCTAGGCCTTTCCATTTGACTTCGTAGAGGATTTGCTTCCCTCTCCTCGGGCAAAAGCGAAGGGGAAAGAAACAGAGAAAGTAGAGGTGAGGCCCAAAGAAATATCTCAAAACAGCGCGGCATTTACCAAGCTCGGATTCCAAGCAATCATCTTCACTTGCGGCTTCTTGTTGCGGAAACACCCCAAAGAAATCTCTTCTGACTCGCTACACGCACTTCCATACTGCCACACCTATTCATAGCTGTCATAGCTCTTCATTATATCGCAACAGCTGCCCCTTTCTGCGAATTGAGAGTCTTCTGTCGCGAAAGCAGCTCTTCGACCTCCTTGCTTCTCTTGCCGTGCTTTACGGCCATGTCCTGCAGAGGATTCAGGACATGATCTAAATCAAAAGGGGTTCCAGAATGTTCAATTTAAATGTTCCAGATGGTTCCAGCCTTTCTTATGTAAAGAATATTCAAAGAGGGTGAGAAGATGTGAAAGATATGTGGCCAAGCAATTCTTGTGGCCGGCCGCAGCCTGCCAATGGGAACCATGCTCACATCCACGACCCCATGAAAATGGCCATCGGCTGCAAGGTCCTTGCGATACTGGGCCTCTTCATCACTCTGTGGCAGGGTCAACCTTCTTTGAGTCTCTGCATCCCAACCATGCCTGCAACAAGATCGAACCATCTGGATATATTTGGAGAATTGTGGAGATGTCTGGATCAGGAATGATCAGGCATCGGCACCACATCCAAGACTTGTCGCTTTCGACCGGATCACAGCTCGGTGATGCTTGGCGTTTTGTCGGGCTCCAGACCATTCTCATCCATTCCAGACCCGCCTGAAACGCACCTGGAAGTAGTGCAGGGGCGTGCTCTTCAGGAACTCAGAGAGATGGAAGAAGTGATGCTGCGCCTTGGTCAATTGGCATCGCAGTCATCGGTGGTGTCGACTCTTGCACAGCCAAGCTTCGATGTAGGCAAGTCGAAGATTTCGGTGCCGCCACACAGAACTGACCTGCTCACAAACGACAAACCTGAAAGGTCGGAAAAGTCGGAAAGAGCAACTCCTGAAAGTGCTGCAGCACCTCTCCCGTTTCATCCTCTGGTGGTAGAAGCTCGCCAGCTAGCAAATTCAACAACCTCATGATCAGCATTTTGACAAAACAAGCAGCATCACATCAAACAGAATCAGTTCACTACAAGCATCTACAAGCACAATGAATCAGGATTCAGTCAGGTAGGGTTTTTCAATGTTTTTCAACTGAGCCCTCAGCGTGGATTTACCAGCGCCGTTCCGGCCCACAACTCCAATCCGGCTGCCCATAGTCAGTCGAACCGTCACATCTTTGAGCCTGGCGAAAGACGAACCCAAAAGGGTCAAAGGTTCAACCACTTCAAAACTTCAAAAGGGGTCATTTGGGTGTGTATGAAAATAGGGTGTGCCCAAAAAAATGCACAAATTGATGAGGAAAATAATGATAAACTATTGGATTTATTCATACAGTATGGGTCCTGTGCTGAAACAAGCCGATTTTAAAGGCATCAAGTTCAAGAAAATGTCACATGCGGCCGGGAAGCACCAGTGGACCATCATCGAAGTATTTGAAATTTAGGTTGGTCACCTGGCTGGCTATGGCTCAAGAAAGCTCACAAGTTGATACAAAATGTCAACAGGGCTCAAAAAAACAGATCCGACAGCCGGTAGATTTGAAGCAGTGGAGGTTTCATGCATCAGCATTGGCTGAGTCACAGTTGCCACGGGCTTGCTCGCAGTGCCAAGGCCTTCAATCTTACCTGGGAGGCATGGGCACATCACTGTGTTAGGTCCTTGTCCTGTACAACGCTGTACCAATCTGTACAACATGTCCAGGTCCTGGGATTCAGGTTCGGATGGTTCGGATGGTTCGGATGGTTCGGATCCTCCTCTTTGATCCTCATACCCGCCATCAGCTGCCTACACAAATGAAGTTTCGCATCACAGCCTATCTCAGCTCCGGCACCCGGCAAAGGAAATCGCATCTCATCATCTCCATCAATCTCTGGAGGCTTGGTCTCTGGGGGCCTCATGACCATCTGTCCATGAGTCCATGACACACATTTCTCGGCCATTCCTCAGGTTCTATGATGTACGTTTGTTTGGGAATGCTCGGGATTGTCCATGGGATTTGTCATTTTTGTGTGTCTGCGTGTTTCCCTTGGTGATCTGCGGTCCCAACGGCACGGCCGTGTCAATCTTTCCTTCATGCCCTCGGACTTTCAAAACCTCAAGTGTCTCAGCAGGGATCAGCACCCAACTTTGTAAGAAGCTGGAAGCGAAAATGCTAACAGCTGCCAGATCATAAACAGCGCCATAAAAGTCATATGACATCATATGACAGCATATATGACAGCATATGACATCCTGAAACATCCTTTTTTAATCCGTTTCTGGGAGTCCAAGTTCACTAAAAATCCCCATGGATTTCCGGTTCCCCCCATGACGTTGGGACGCCCAACATCCTTGGCACCTTCAGCATCCAATTGGGTCTTTTGCCTGGCCGCCCGAGGCCGCCCGAGGCCGCCCGATGCCCGGTGGGCCACATGGGCCACAGCCACGCAGCATGCTTTGTCCACCGTGTGGTGTCTAAACGTCGCCTGAAGGCATCAAAGTTTCCTTCGTAATATTCCAACTTCCCCTGCTTGGTGAAGTGGACGATATCCTCAAGACGTCCCAAGGTGAGAAATTCGGCTGAGACACTCAACGCAGTTCCCGCTTGAATAGATTCCACCGTCAAGTTGATACAGTAATAACTTTCTGCAAAAACCGGAAAATGGCCTACTTCGAGGCCTTCGAGGCATTGATTATCATTGATTCCAGTTTTTCTGCAAAAAACCAAGGCTCTGTGCACGCATGGTTCAAGAAACCAGCATCGTGGGAGATGATCATCGCGGTGATGCGCTCGCCCTAGGATCATCGACTGAGAAGACATGGAGTCATATGGGAGTCATAAATACAATGGTATGAGTATGTATGAGTTGTGTATACACTAAAGCAGTGTGAGGATGTATCTGAAAAAATACTGGTTGCAGCCTATACTATACTATACTATACTATACCATTGAAACATTTGATCTTGTGGGCTAGAGCGGCTAAAATGATATGAGATATCCACAAATCATAGCAATGTATAGAGTCTAGTCTAGAGATACATAACTGGCATGATATTATGAAAAATGATGAAAGGCATAGGACAAAAGGCTTTGCAGCACAACCCCCGGTGAGCCTGTGCCACTAAGTAGTTCTGCAACCACTTGACAGCCTGACCCGGTGAGGTGCTACGAAGTAGGAGACTGGCACATTGGCCCCCCCCCCTCCCAACAAAAAACTTGCATGAATCGTTGGACTCCATATGCCTGCAAGAATTGAAAAAATGTGGAAAGGACTTGAAAGGACTTGGGTATCACTTGGATATGGGGCAATTGGGTGCTACTTGACAAGGCGCCACAGAGTCTAAGTGATTCGTCGGCTCATCCAGCAGGAAGACATCGGCGCCCTGTGCCACAGCGCAAGCCAGGGCCAGTCTCATCTTCCAACCTTCCAGGATCTTCCAGGGACGCAACATAATCCATCAAAGCTCCGGCGTTACGGTCAAAAGCGCGATCATCTTCACCACAATCACTACACGTCGAGACCATCCTAACATCATCCTGGCGATCATTGTTTCATCTACGTCCTCATCACAGGGCATAACCTCCTCGTCGTTGTTGCCGTCGTCCTCGTCGTCCTCGTCCTCATCTTCGTCCTCATGGTCGCCATTGTCGTCGTCATGGTCGTTATCGTCGTCGTCGCCGTCATCATCGTCATCATCGTCATCATCGTCATCATCGTCATCATCGTCATCGTCATCGTCATCGTCATCATCATCATCATCATCATCATCATCATCATCATCCTCGTCATCATCATAGTCGTCATCATCATCATCATCATAATCATAATCATAATCATCATCATCATCATCATCATCATCATCATCGTCATCCTCTTCTTCTTCCTGGTCCTGATCGTCTTGATGTTCATCCTCGTTCGCATCATCGGTATCAAGAATTCCAATACAATAATTCAATAACGGAACTTGCAAGTGCTGAAGCTTTTCACTGAGAGCCTCCGCTAAGCTCACCCACGGCCTTGCCTTAGCATCTAATCTCAATAATGGGTTGCTTCAAAAGGGCCGGCCATTTCAGCCGCTTTGAGAAAATCCAGGGGAACTGGGCTGACAGCCCAGTGACATGTTGCTACATGTTGCTGCTAAGCAGAATCGTTCGTCATTGTTTCACAGCAATGTCCCAGTGCCAGGCTGAACATTGCCTCATCAAAGCCCACAGAATGCAAACAGTCGTCGGTGACGATCGCATCAAGTCCACTGCACTTCCTTGGAGAAAACGCCGACGAGTTTCAGGAGGCCAAAGCGAAATTGCCGATTTCATCATTTCATCATGGTGATTTGTGGTGATTAATGGTGATTAATGGTGGTAAATAATGGTGATTCTCAATTCCTGAAAATTACTGATATTCTCTAGCTTCCAGCACTGGAGGGGAGGGTCTCACAGGAACAAGCCTGAAGAAATTTACAGTCCGCTTGAAAAACGCTGAGATGCGCGGAAGAAGGGGGCCAAGACGCTAGGACAGTCCAACATGTCTACCTTCAGTGTATATGGAAAACTTGGCTATACCATGCTAGGCCAATGAAGTGAGCAGAAAAATCTGAAACTCTCAGGTGAGAATTGTACAGCTGAATAGTTTCCAGCAACCGACATGACTAGCTGGTATGTGTTGGGCATTGGTTGATTCTGCTGGCCGCCCGCTGTCAATCTGTCCAGTCAAGAGGTTTCCAAGCAACACAATTCAGCAATGCAGCAAAGCTTCAGTTGAACAAATTCACCTGAGGATCACTCTTGAAGCAAATGCTCAATCAGCGCCAAATCACTGACGATTCTAAGCGTGCCACATGTTGTGCCAGCACTTTAAGTGCCCCAACAAGAAAAAGGGAGACCAAAGAGGTAGGCTGCCGCTAGCCCAGGCACTACAACTGGTCTTCCGGTCGATGTTATCCAAGATGCCCTGCGGAAAAACACACAGATTCCGTCAATTTATAGTAGGCGCAGATGACATGGGACCTCGCGGTTAATTTAGCCTAGTTCTTCTGCACATCACATGGAATCTGAACAATTTATGTATCATTTTACTGTACCTATGGTTTTTTAACATACACATGACATGGGAGTTATGCACTTCCAAAAATGCAGGGGCGTTCCCCTTTTTTTGACACATGACATGAGAATTTTTGAGACAAATCTTGGGACTTCCAAGGGCCCATCTTTGAATTAGGACATGCTGGATCTGGCACATGAGTTTTTTGATGTTTTTTGTTGGCAAATCCATGCCAAACCATGCAAACCAGCTGCTGGTGCAAGATGTGCCTGTCATTTTCCCATATGTTATAAAAGAAAACTCTGGAAGGAGAAGCGCGACCGAAGCTGAGAATCCGAGAATCCTACTCAAAAGTTCACTTCTGACATTTGAATGCCAACCTGTTTTTTTCGACGTGATGAGATGGTAGTTTCCTGTCCCCAGGCTCCAAAAAATATATGGTTTTGAGAGATAAGTGGGGGGTTCATATATGAGTTTTCGCCCAAATCGATTCTTTCCTGCGTATCAACATGTATTAACGAGGTTTGGGCACCTTTTACGCATGCCATTAGATTTTTAAGCACATGACTTGAGGCTTCCAGACCCAAATTTTGGTTTCTTACATTCTTATACATTCTTGCAATGAATTTTCTTTCCATGCACTTTAAAGATGACGTGGGAGTTATGTTTTTTTGTTTTTTCCAATTTTCACATGACATGGGAGTTTGCAGATTTTGGGTATGTGTAACTACTCCCATGACATCTGCGGGTACTATAGTCTGTTTTCTTGTTCAACCACATCACCCAAACGCAATGCCATGCCTGCTTTCGTGGCTCAAATGGCACTGAAAGGCGCCTCATGCTCTAAGTGGTAGCATTTGAGCTTCTCCATGCCGGGCAAATCTCCCACAGCCACCCTGGAAGCGCAGAGGCTGTACCAACAAGCTAAACAGCTGTCAGGCCAACGTTGCCTCTTATGACTTTGGATCCTTTTGGATCCTTTTGGTACTTGTTTGCCCTTTTAGGCCTGAAACTGTTAAGCTCTACTCTATCACCATGCCTTGACATCAGGGTTGTCTTGCCAGCCCCATTCTGGCCGACAATGCCTCAGGATGCACACAGTTCAGCAACGCATACGATCTAAGGCTGAGGAAAAAAAAATCGTCTGAATCAATCCGATGCCAAACTAAGCAGCGTTTAACTAAGCCAATCATATTATATATATATATCATATTATGTATATATATATATCATATTATATATATATCATATTATATATATATATCATATTATATATATATATATCATATTATATATATCATATTATATATATATCATATTATATATATATAGTATTATATATATATATATAATATTATATATATATACACATAATATGTTATATATATATATATACATAATATGATATATATATATAATATGATATATATAATATGATATATATATATATACATAATATGATATATATATCATATTATATATATCATATTATATATATATCATATTATATATATGTCATATTATATATATATCATATTATATATATATCATATTATATATATATCATATTATATATATATATCATATTATATATATATCATATTATATATATATCATGTTATATATATCATATTATATATATATATCATATTATATATATCATATTATATATATATCATATTATATAGTCAAACAGGGGGAAGAACCGGACACCCCAAAAGAAGAGGGAAACCAATTCACCAGACCCTGCATGAAACAACAAACAAACAAGCGCCCTTTTGGCGGGCACTTGAGCCAAAGGGTCGATAGCATACTTAATTATACCCCTTTACCCAGGTGGTTGTTAGGGTGAAGGGGAAAGTATCTAGCTCTACCTAGGGCTACTCTCCTTATCTACCGCTTTTAGATAAGGGGTGCTATTCTGTACATTGTTGGGAATAGCTACTTGGGGATTAATTGGACTCATAGCTACGGCAGTGCTCTACACAAGACCTACTACCTATGCTATACATAGTGGGGCTCAGGGGTCGGTATATTTCAACTCCCCCCTCGCCTGTTCCACACGTACTGCGCATTGGCAGTGACCTAAGCGACTACTGTCGCGTGAACGGACGTTCACAGCGACCTAGGCCTTGGCTTTAAGGTCTAAGGGGAGATCAGTACGGATTCCTAAAAGGATTAGTGCTGCTGCCCATTTGTGTGGAGGCAATGCCTTGGTGAATATGTCTGCCGCCTGATCATCGGTATGGATGTACTCTATTTCGGCAGAGTCATCTCTGAAGACTTCAGACAGGCAAGACAAATTAACTTTGTGTGTTCTAGTTATATGGCGAAGCTTGGGACTATATCCTTTCTTCACAACTAAGATTGTTGCTTGGTTATCTTCGTGGACCCTTAGGGTTACCGAGCGTGCAAGCAACAGCTCCCATAACTGTAAGGCAGGCAAGCCTTCTTGATAAAGCGAATGGGCTAAACTAACAACCTCGCTTTCCGTGGTCGATCTAGAAGTGGATGTTTGGCGCTTGCTAATCCATGCAAGTGGGAAGAAGGAACTAGGGCCAGTTAAAGCAAGAAAGCCACCAGAGGTTGAGCGTGCAGTTGATCTGTCGCCGGCGAAGTCGGCATTGACAAACAATCTGAGCTCTAGGTCTTCAGGCTTGTCCTGAATGGTACCTACTAACCTATAGTGTGGGGTTGATGCTATGTACTGGATTAATCTTAGGACCTTCTTATCATCCCCCCTGGACCACGACTGGACCTTTGTGGCCAGATCATTGATAGGCTTGATGATGTCGGGACGTGCAAGTCTACCTAACCAAAGGGCTTTCATCAAAATCTTACATGCGTTTGGAGCTAATTCCCCTTTAGTTTCATCATCTTCAATGGTGATGGATCCCTCAGGTGGAAATGGCGTAGCGGCATGCTTGAGTTTGGTGACACCAGTTATTGATTTATACAAATCTACGGTCTGCTGAGCGTAGTCTGCCATATCAAAAACCATGCCAGTTTGGGCTTGGAAGGCTGCACATTTTTCATGACCTTCGGTCTTGGGAAGTGGGGTAACAACATGGTTGCGTCCAAGAATCCTATAGATGGGCTCTGGGGGTTCTATGTCTACCACAGAAGTTAACTTACTCCAGAATGCATCATGCTGGTCGGCGGGGCCAGCTAGAGTTAAATCGTCTACATAAGTTGACAGAAGTAACTTTGTATCTGGGAAGTAGAAATTTCCTGGGTATTCTGGAACTTCCTGACCACCAAGGTTCTTGATGATGACTTTCAGGTGTTGTTCCCACAGGCCTCCGGCATCAGGATGACCGTATAAGGCTTTTATTAAGAGGACTACGGGCTTAACAAACTGTTGTTTCCAATACTTAGGGCGGAGCTCCGGGGGGAGCTCAATCCAGGTTTTGTATTTGGAAGATAACAGTGCTTGGACGTAAGCTTTGACTGCATCTGCAGCCGTCGCGCGGTTACCCGGCAGCGACCCGTACGCCAGGCAGGCGTTTAGCCCTTGGACGGAGGTGGGGTTTGCGCCGAGTTCTTGGTAAACCGCGGCTGCACCATGCTCGTCCTTTGCGCAGTCTCCTCTGTACACGATGCGCCCCTTCATTTTGTGAAGGTGGTCTGCGAGCTCGTAGAATTTAATGGACGCAATGGTCATGAGTTGACCAAAGTGTACAGACACACCCGAAGCCTTAGCTTCTTTGCGCACATCTTCCTTCTCGCGGACCGAGCCAAGATCCCAGGTACCAGCCTTAACCAAACCATCGGCTTCGGCGCGAATTGCCTCAAGGGCCTTGGGGTTGGACAACATCTCCGCACGGGATAAGAGCTTGGTGACCATTGCTTTGATCTCAGGCGTTGGCGCCTTTGGGTCCTCCAGGTGGAGGGCTTGCGCGATCAATTGTTCATGGTCAAGAAGTTCTGTAACCAACCTATTAGCCGTGGGGTCTGATTCAACAGCTAGGGCTAAATCTTCAAAACCAGCTAATGGGGATACGTGCTTAAGGTGCTGCTCAATTTCCCTATGGGGTTGAGGCTCGCTAGTTGCCGGTCGGCAAGGCATAGCAGGAACGGACTGCTGGGCACATTTTGAGGGATACAAAGCTTGCGCAATTAGATTAGTCATTTGGGGCGGATACATTGCGGAGCGAGTGGTCTCAGCTCCCTCACATCTGGAATGAGGTTGCTGGCATCGGCACCGCATGTCTTGAAACGCCTCTACAATTCGGGAAGAAGTAGTCTTGAGCTTCCATGGCTTTTTGATGGGATAACCATTTCTGTCGGTTAGACCTACGGTGCACCCTTCAAAACCAACGGTCATAAACTGGGGATGTTTCTCAAAGAATGCTACAACGTCAGGCCTTTTCCAGCCAGAGCAAGGTCTTGGCCACTCAAACGTTACAGTACCACCATGATTGAGAACCCTTTCAGCACGTTTAGAAAAACTCTTAAACAACCGTTTGGACTCTTTGACTTGGCGTGCTAGCTTTCTCATGAATGCGGCACCACCCTTCTTCCTATTGATGTACTGCCAAGGGGATCCGGATGTGCAAGGGATAGAAGCCCACATATGTGGAGGTGCAACCTTAGCGGCTTCATCTATCTGATAGTCTAGTTGCTCACATTGTGACTCATCTCCCAGGTCTATCCTATCCTTACAAAGTCTAACATGATTAATGCCATATTCTTGGTGAGTAAAACCCATCTGGGAGTCCTCAGAACAAGCAAATTCAAACATGGTTGACTTGGCATTGGGTCTGGAAGCTTTCTTGGCAGCTTTCCGGCTCCTACGATTATCGCGGTTAGTTGGCTTACCTACAGCGGGGCAACCAAAAACAGGCAGCGACTTTTGACATAGGTCGGAACATCGATTGGCAACTTGGGGAAGAATAGCTACACCAGAAACAGGAACGGCATGCTCAGGCGGAGCACTGGGTTCGGCTGACCCTGGAACCTCACCTCTTACGAAAATTTCATCGAAAAGTTCTTTGTCCTCTGCGGAGAGGTGTGAGGGAATGGGGTCAGAGATCTCCTCACCACGGAAGATGATGCCATGTGCTTCATCGTCCTTGTCTTCTGCTTCAGTTTCACTTTCAAGAGGTGGAGCTTTCTTTTCCCTTTCAGCTTCTTTTTCTTTTTCAACCAACATTGAGAAGCGGGCTCTGCACTCATCAGTGTGCGCACGTGAATGGCCAGTGCAGCCTTTGCAACCAGGGGTCTCTTTCCATTTAAGGATACGGTCTACGGTTATATAAACAGGACGACTTTTGAGACCTGGTGTAGAGGGTGAGGCTACTCCGCCCTCCTTTGGGAAGGGCACATCCTTTAAGGCATATTCAGGCAACTTAAGATCATCTGGGTTATCCCCCCTGATGAGAGCTTGGTGGCGTGAAAAACCTACAGGAAAAACAGGATCACCTTCAGGGACAAAGATTTCTGCTTCTGGAACATCAACGGCTGAATTCCCACCTCTAGTGCGATACTCTTGATAATCTAGCACCCTAAGAACATTTCTGTATCTAAAACCGGGATCAATCCTCCAACCCAAAAATAGACCAGGTGACATGTTGGGCTCCAAAGTCCTTTTGGTGGGTGACTTCTTACGGTAATACACTAACTGACCAAAACATAACCTCATGCCATCAAACTTATTCCTAGTAAGCGACTCCCATTGGGTTTTGTCGGGGTCAGCTATTGAAGGCTTGTCGAATGACATTGAAAGGCAAGCATATGGATAGCTATATGTGTGATACTCATAGGGAAGACCAGATTGGAGGTGAATAGTGCGACAACATTCTTTCTCCTCTCGAACATCTCTCTCGAGGATGGCGTTGTGGGGCCATCTGTTCGGCAACGAGGTTTCTGGAACCATGCCTACGGCATGTGCCGCCTGCTCAAGCTCGCCGGCTTCGTCCATTTTGATGAACGTTCGGGTGGTGAGCTCTGATCCACGCAGTCCTAAGAAATGTCTAAAGTTGCGAGCATGCGCGTCAGCAGTACGTTTGGACAGTGGGTATGCAACACGCGCACCAGAGTACGCATCGCGGATGACATGATGCGACCTTATTCCCCCTATACC